ATTTTAAAGCATATGTTGGAAGCACGGAACTTTTCTTTAATCACCGATCACAAACCGCTCACGTAATGCATTCCGACAGCGTTTGGATAAGTGTTCACCTCGTCAGGCTAGGCAGTTAGACTTTATCTCCCAATTCACCACTGAAATTCGCCATATAAAAGGTTTTCGGAGAATCGCTCGCTGCCGACGTACTTTCGCGTATAGAAGCAATAAGCATGCCTAACCCTATCGACTATGAGGAAATCGCTAAAATGCAAAAAATCGACCCAGAATTACAAACATTGCTTAAAGAGTCAAAAGTTCTACATCTCAAAAAAGTTACCTTACCGAATTGTAGCTTACCCGATATATTGCGATGTGTCAACAGGTAACGCCCGTCCTTACATTCCTCCGGCATTCCGTGAGAAAAGTTTTTGCCACCTTGCAACCATTTGTCTCACCCCGGCATTCGCGCATCAACAAAGTTAGTATGTTCAACAGGTTTGGTTTGGTCCTCCATCGGCAAAGATTGCGCGAAATGGGCACGGCAGTGCATTCCGTGCCAGAAAGCAAAAGTAAGCAGGCATACTAGAACCCCGTTAAATGAAGTTTCCAGACCAATCACAGAGGTTTGATCACGTCCACCTTGACCTTGTTGGTCCCCTACCTCCTTCTCAAAATAATTATTACTGTCTAACTATGATAGATAGATTTACTAGATGGCCCGAAGCAGTACCCTTACCAGACATAACAGCACGCACAGTAGCACAGGCTTTCTATGACCACTGGATTACTCGATTTGGTTGTCCGACTGTTATTACTACCGACCAAGGGCGACAGTTAGAAAGCGGCTTATTTCAGGCCTTTCCCAATTATTGGGAATCAGAGGATCAGGATGACGTCTCCGTACCACCCACAGGCGAATGGACTGATCGAGGAATTTCCACGTCCCCGTCCTTTGAAAGCTGCCTTAAAAGCGCACGATACCAGTGACTGGTGGCTGCCCTTCCAACGCTGCTGATGGGTTTCCGCGCCGCTCTCAAAGAGGACATAGGAGCAACCACTTCTGAACTGGTGTATGGAAAGACTATCCGTCTCCCAGGAGAATTTTTCAATCCGACACCTCCGGATGCGTCCCCCAAACAGTTTGTGGAGGATTTAAAATCTCTTTGCCAGTGTCCGCCCGACCACAACTTCTAGCCACGGCCAGCGAACATGTTTCATTCATCCACGCCTTCACAAGTCCACATATGTGTTTGTTCGACACGACGGAGTTAGAAAACCACTTCAAACTCCTTATGATGGACCATTTAAGGTGCTAGAAAGACGAGATAAAACGTTTGATCTCGAAATAAAAGGGACTAAGCAAACGATCTCCATAGATAGACTGAAACCCGCTTTTGTAACCATGGACTCTTCTCAAGTTGCTTCCAAGAGTGTGAAAAAAACTTCGGACAATTGTATCACCCGTTCTGGACGATTAATCCGACCCCCGCATCGGTATGTCACATTTCGTTGACACTGCGGAGGGAGTATGCAGCGGCAGCGCCAAACAGGCGATACGGACTTAAAAACTGTACAGAAAAGCGCCAATTGGCGAAACAGTAAACCCGTTTGGCAAACCTACAAGCTGACGGAGAGAGAAGATTTTTTCCCCGACAGTCAAGTGGAACTACTTCAACAAATGTGTGCGTCTCTGCTTCGCCGAGATATGTAGACTGGTGTACTCGCATCTGTACTGTGCTCTGAATTTCTTAAGCCGTTATAATGTACCCGGCAACTTATACTTTTCCTTATTAAATTTGATTATTAATTGTAACATGTCTATCTTAACTAAGATTTCGGCTTTCCTAGTTAATGTTAGGGATATTTTCGTATGCACGTGTTACTCACACGTACATCAATGGTAAAGGGCCAACGATATCGATATTAAGGTGCTTGAAATGTTGATTGGGAACTTTGAAGTCAGCAGCTGGAGCATGGGTATGTTTGTGAATTTTGGCTCGTCGGCATTGCAAACATGCTCTAGACCACTGCTGGCAGTCTTTGTTTATGCCAGGCCAAATGAATCTTTTTGTCACCAGCTTCGTTGTTGCACGAATCCCAAAATGAGATAAGTTATGTATAAAAAGAAATACTTATTCGCGAAATTCTTTAGGAATGTATGGCCTGTTAAAATTAGTGGAGGTATCACAGTAAATTTTCTTATTGCTATCCGGAATAGGAATTAGTACTATTTTGAAATTGGAATTAGATTTGAGAATCCTGAGGTTTTCATCCTCCTGGCAATCTGCTATAACTGTATAATCACTTGAGCTGGGAGCGCGATGGTGTCGATTCTCGATAGCGTGCCAGTTACAATGTTTTCTTTTCCAGAAATGTAACGTATGTCTGTAGTGAATTCAGCAATGTAGTTCAACTGTCGTGAGAGGCTTTATCTAAATTATGGTGGAAGGCGTAAGTGATAGGTTTATTATCAGTGAAGATAGTAAATGATCGTCCTTCCAGAATGTGTTTAAAATGCTTCCGCTAGGTAGATTGCAAGTAGGTATCGATCGTACGCGCTGTAATTTCTCTGTGTTGGTGATAGGGATCCGGAGAGAAAACTTAGCGGTTGTTTTTCATTATTAGATAGTTGATGAATCACAGCACCCACGGCAGAATCAGATGCATCTGTAGTTAGGGGGATCTGCGCCGTTTGATTGGGGTGAACTAACATTACAGAGTTGCACAATGCGTTTTTGATATCGGTGAAAGCGTTCTGCGCATCTTCGGTCCAAATTAGAGGTTTTTTGCTGTTTGTCTTTACACCTTTAAGCAAGATTGTCAGAGGTTGTTGTAGTTTGGCGCAGTTTGGAATGAAACGATGGTAAAAGTTCATCATGCCCAAAAATCTGCACAAGCTTGTGAAGGATTCTGGTTTAGGATATTCTTTAATTGTATCGACTTTGGATGGAAGTGGCTTGATTCCTTTCGTTGATATTATATATCCTAAAAATTCAACTTTACTCAAGCCAAATTTGCATTTTACAATGTTTATGCACAGTCCATAGCTATTGAGTCTTTGGAAGATTAATTCAAGATGTTTTTGTGTGTTTCAGCATCAGAAGAGGCGTTGAGAATGTCGTCGAGATAGCAAAATACAAAGTCTAGGCCGTTAAGCACTGTTTTAATAAACCTTTGGAAAGTGTCAAGTTTGATATCTGCTTCTGTAAATCTTCGGGGGTAATGTTATCAGATGGGGAAGACACAATGCGAGCTACCTGGGATGGATTGAAATTTAATTTCCATATTTTGTCAGCCATTGTAGACAATTTGGACAAATCATCACTTCTTACAGATAAAATGCTCCGCATATCAAGTGGTAGTCGTTGCATCCACAAAGTTTTTAAAAATTCATCTGGCACTTTCTCAGCCGCCAAGTTACGCATTTCCGCAGAGAAGTTAGGATGGTTTCTTATCACTCAGTTCTAATTCGGTCAGAAGTTTTCGGGTTTTCTGTGTTTCAGAGTCAGCAAAAATTTCAATCAGTCTTTTTTTAATGGCCGGATATTTGCCGTTGTCTGGTGGTTTTGGGAGAATATCAGAGATATGTGACAATGTCCCTGTTTCCATAGAACTGACTACATAATCGTATTTTGTTTGATCAGCCGTAATCCCAGCGTTTCGGAATTGGGCTTCAATCTGAAGAAACCATATTTTAGGGTCAGGTTTCCAAAAAGGAGGAATTTTGATGCTGAGGAATTTTGATCCTTCAACCATAGCAGAATTAGGCTTAACGGAAATACAGCTACCTTTATTTAATTTCATATTTTTATAGCTTATTATTTTTATAGCTTTTATATTTGCTTAGTAAAAACTAGTTCATTTATTCTTAACACATTTGATGCATTCTGAAAGTTCTAACTGCATTCATTACCGCTGAAGTTATATTGCTAATAGAACAAAATTTAAATTTTTTAAAGTTGACTTACCATTTTAGAAGTATTTCAGTTCCACGTACGCTCGGAATTTACATTTCACAGACGCACTAAAACAATCGATTCATCAATTCTTGATGTAATCCATGCGCACCAGAAGCACTTCGAAATTGCAATTCCACCAGAAGCAATTCGAAATATCATTCAATCCACTTTCAAACTCAGGAAAAAATTGCGGAACTTTAAAAATGGGTAAGTAGCTTCTTACGACACTGTCCGTAACATTTATTCGGTAACAGGTGACTATTTATAAAGTGCAGTGACATCTCGTAAAATTACAGAAACATCGTACGTTCTTTTTTCCATCAGACACTTTATAAGTTGAATTCAATCGCGTCCAGGTAAACCAGCGTGGATGTCTTGAACATAGGAAATGTTAAACATTGCTCTTACTCCAATAAGATTAATATTTATTTACATTTTTTAGATATAGAATCACACAGGCCAAAAATCAGTCATCGTTCTTTTTCTTCTGTCTTGCTTCATGTTGCCACTCTGGCGAAAAGAAAAATGCATGCGAGAAGTTTCACAGATGGCGCTTCATTAGCACGAATGATGTCACCACATTCGGTTTCCTCTTCGTCAGCCATTGTAGAATTCGATCACGCCGCGATACACCAGTGATGTTTCTGGTATGCAAATATAGGAAAATAACACTTCTCTGACTCCAATAGAACCAATATTTCATTCCTTACGAAGTTATAGATTCTTATTCATAAAATTTATTTAAATTTTACATGCCGTTGAATCGCGTGACAAACCGAACTTTACTTCGTTCTTCGCGGAGACTAGAAAGTGTTGCCATTCCGCTTTAACTAAATTTAATTAGAAAATTGACGGAACTGAAGCGACTCTACAGAAGGATAGTTTCGTTTGAATAGATACTCAAAATGCTGAAAAATTTGGTTTAAAAGAATGTTTTATAGCTCACCCATTTCTTTAACTCTGAAAGTAATCCATAGCCTAACAATAATTACTCGTTATTATTCTTTTAGTAATTGTTAATTTTTTCCGCAATATTCTCAGAAGTCAGCAAACAACTCAACGCAAGAGTAAAATGTCCGCGCACATGGTTGTGTTGTGTTTACATTTAAATTCATACGCTGATATAATAATCTTGAACAATTTCTTATAATAGCATCCAGTGAGTGTTAAAATCAAATTTATGATTTATTTTTCTAATAGTATAGCATATTAAATAACTCTGTCTAACTGAAACTGTAATTTACTTAAAACATTTTCTTTAACCATATGTAAACAAATACTCGAATTAATTTAATTATTCATATATGTTTCATGACTTCTTTTGATGATTGATGTACGTTTATTTGTAGGAATGTCGAGAATAATCGTGAAAAATTTGCCCAAAACAGTAAGTTTGTATTACGATATTAATTATTTCAGATCTTTCGAATTATTTAATGTTATATAGTGTGTAATAATTAGTTTTAATTATCTATGTACTAACGTTCATAGATACGTGTATAACTAGTTTGTATATAGAAAAAAAAAAAAAAAGGAGAAAGTGCAGAATCGCCCACTTCTTGGCGCGTTATTAAGAATGCACGTACTCGGTATCCATGTACACATCGACCTATTTTCACTTAAAAAAACATCCCAGAATTGCACAAAAATGGCATTGTGCACTCCCTTGGCTTTATCCATGTACACATCGACGTATTTTCACTTAAAAAGTCAAAGAAAATTCTTACTTTTGTATAAAGCGCCAAACAAATAAGTGGGCGATTCTGCACTTTAGACAAAAAAAAAAAAAAAAAAAAAAAAAATTATATTTGAAAAGAATCTATGGGTAGCTGATTGGTTAAGACACGAAATTTTTAATTTCAGTGATATTTATATATTTTAAAACAGTGTTTGGTTGATTAATGCATACAATGTGTGGTGATTTTTTTATAATTGCATTATTTCAGTCATGTATTTTCTTTGTAATTAGCCTAATAACAATATTCAGAGGCCTGAGGCTGGAATAGTAGATTAAAGAGGAATGAAAAATGAAATGGATTCATGTAAGTTTTGCCACTTGAGTAGTAGTAGTAAATTACAGTTTCTTTTATGCTGTTCTGAGCCGAATAAGGATGATACCATTGTTTGGTAATTTCATCATTTTCATCACCAAATCATATAATCCATATCTATTCTCTCTTTCTGTCCTTTAAAAAGAAGAGGGGAAAAAAGACACAGAGGGATAACTGCCAAAATAGCAACAGGAAACACTGAAGGAAGAATTATTGAATTGATATTCATTCTTCCTTCTCATTTGTAGTGATATCATTACATGGTTCTTCGTGAGGGAAAACAAACAGGTTATCACCTTAAGTTCTGTGGTATACACTTGTGACTGGTGTTTTAATAATGAAAGAGTACCCAAAATGGTCTGCAAAATCTGCATGCACATTTTACAGTACATGAGTAATGTACTTTAACTACTGCCTTGGCAATATAGTGGATTAGCAGAATCTGAATGTAATTCTGAAACTGTAATATCTTTATTGTATATTCATTGCACAAAACACTATTTAATGTACAACAAACTTTGGAACTACTGTGATATATGGACTGGGTTAGTGAAGAATTTCTGGCTCTACTCTTATATGCGCCCTAAGATCACCAAGTATAACAATATGCGTTCTGCAATGGTTTTTGACGCGATTCCGTGCTGTGGGATGGTTTGATGGACGATGCTGTTTGTGTGTCAACACTTTTGACGTTGAAACTTAGAGACGTGGTGGCAAGATTTCAGTCGAGTATTTTAGATTGTGTGGAAAGTAAATTTACTATTAAAAGGTAGAATGTTGGAGTTGTTAACGAGTCTTTTGTTCACGGATGTGTTTATGTGGATAGAAGTGCATTTTTGGAATTTCTGTGGACTTTTGAAATGGAGTTTGGCATGTCCAAAATGTGGCGCTGATATGAGAAGTCGGACAAAGAATGGTGTTTCTGATAGACTTGTGTGGGTTTGCTGTCGAATGGTTGCTGCTAAAGTATGTGGCTGTCAACGGAGTTTAAGATTTAAATTGTGGTTTTCGTATAGTAAGTTAACTTTGGAGGAAGTTTTTATCATTACTTTCGAAATTTTGAATCACAGAAAGACGTGTGATACAGTAAAATCGTAGCACTTTTGTTGACAGATATTGTGTGACTGGTGAAATTTTATTCACGTATGTATTATGGTAAGTGTATTTTATTTTATTTTGTAGAATGTTATGTTCATTGTTTTTTACTATGAATTTCTGTTGATATTTGAATTGTTTGTAATTTATTTTAGTTTATTTTATTGATTTGTGCACGATGCTTAGATTATGCAATTCGTAGATGTTTTTTTAAATTTAAACAGAATGCTGTGTACACGGTATTCTTTTAAATTTATTGTTGTTATGTTAATTTATTAAAGCGAGCTGTGCGTAGTTCAAAGATTCTTTCGCTGTCTAGATTGTGCAATTTGTAGATGTTTTTTTAAGTTAAAACATATTGGACGTGGATTCTTGTCAAATATTTTTGGTTAGAAACTTTACATTTTTGCTATCTAAATTTGTTGTTTTTGTGTTTGATTTTTAGCTTAAATTGTGTTCAAAACGTGTTTTTTGCATGTGCGAAAACCGCATTTTTGGAGATATTTTAGGCTTAAAGTTCGAAGTGTAGACAAAAATTTATATACAGTCAAAAGTCGTTAATTCGGACACCCATAATCCGGAATGATCTATAATCCGAACCTCAAAGTTACAAACTTTCTGCGCATGTGTCGCGTTCACGAGAGCGCGTAAGACCCTTACGGCTGCGAATATGTTTGTGCGCATGCGCGTTTAATGTGTAATGGAGTTATACGCTAAGCTAAAGTTATCTAATTCAGTTAATGTTGCAGATTGCGTTGTTCCTTAATCTTCGAATTGGATCCGGCTTATTATTTTTGCAGACTTGTTAGAGCAATTTTATAAAAGTAAGCTTGAACTTTCGATTATGTCAAATAGAATTTCCGATATATATTTACTACAAAGCGAAAGTATGTTTTGAAATCCGAAATCTGTTTATCAATTTCACGCTGCTCTGCGGCAGAGGAAGGGGGCAGAAGCGTCATTATTAGATTATGATAGATTAGAAAGATTATGTCAAATAGAATTTCCAATATATATTTACTAATATGTAATTTGTATCTACAAAGCGAAAGTATGTTTTGAAATCCGAAATCTGTTTATCAATTTCAGGCCCCGGATTGGAAGTTGATCTGTCAGCACTATCCTTATCTTCAGGACAGATGTTTTTATTTTATTTGAATTATAATTCCGTACTAAGTTTAGTATTTCATCTTGATGTACTCCGTCTTTGATATGATTTAAATCAAGTTCCTCGTCATTATAATTCTCTTCCGATAGTGAAGAAAGTGACCCAGAGGTTATTGAAAACAAAAACCTTTCGATTGACAAATTAGTCGGTATTCTCAACACAGCAATTATAGGACTTGAACAGCGGAACTTTGTTAACTAAACAAGAAATTATGTCTGTTAATAGAATTAAAGAGAAGTATTATCACATGAAACGAAGCAACTTAACATGAAGGAAATGTTTAATAAAGTAAACAAAAAAATTAAGCTTATTCTTTTTGTAAATTTTGATACCCTTTAGAAGATCATAATTGTTCTTTATTTCATAAATTACGGTTCATATTTTTAATTTTGTAATTTTTGCATGCCATCTTACCAGATTTAAACTGATGATCTATAATCCGGAATCGCTGAAGTCCTGACGAGTCCGGATTAACGACTTTTGACTGTAGTAATATGGCACCGTGGAGTTTCTCACCAAAAATATTTGGCGAGAAATTTGCCGACCTGAGGGCGCATATAAGAGTAGTTCCAAATTTCTCACCAAATAGTTTTGGAAAGAAACTCCACGATTTTGCTTATCTAATTTTGGTACAACTCTGATAAATGCCCTAATTTCACCAAATGTGGCGATATGTGTTTTGCACTGGTTTTTGGCGCGATTGCGTGTTGTATGACAACCATGTCCACGTTGAAAAATCTTTTGGTGGAGTAGTTAATTGCTAGTTCGTGTCGCGGTGTTTTTTTGAAATGGCCTATGTTGCGATGAAAGACGTGGTGGGAGGGTTTCAGCCGCGTATTTAGATTGTGTGCAGAGTAAATTTATAAAAGTACGATGTTGCAGTTGTTAACGAGTCTTTTTCACGGATGTATTTATGGGGATCGTAGTGTATTTTGGAATTCTGTGGGAGTCGGGACTTTTAAAGCAAGAGTTTGACGTGTCCGAATGCGGAGCTGATATGAGAACTCGGACGAAAAATGGTGTTTCTGATAGACTTGTGTAGGTTGCAGTAAATTGTGCTAATAAAGTATGTGGGGTGTCAGCAAGTTAAGGTTTGGATCTTGGTTTTCGTGTAGCAAGCTACGTTGGAGAAAGTTTTTATTTATTTTCAAAATTTTGAATTGTAGGAAGGCATGTGATAAGCAAAATTTGGAAGTTTTCTTCACAACGTTATGTGACTGGCGAAATTTTTAACGAATGTATTTGGACTTTGTATGCTCTGTATCTGAGAAGATAGGGGGGAAGATATTCTGCTTTTAAAAGAAGCTTTCATTATGGTAAGTGCATCTTATTTTATGTTTTTATTTTGAGATGTTATATTCATTGTTTTTGTATGAATTTCTGTTTTTATTGTTATTTTTGAATTGTCTAAATTTTTTAGTTATTTTCTTGATTGTTTTTAGTGTAGATGTGCAATTCGTAGATTTTTTTTTAAGTTAAAACAGATGCGTGTACATGGTATTCTTGAAATTTATTGTTGTTATGTTAATTTATTAAAGCGAGGTGTGCGTAGTTCGTAGATTCGTTCGTTGCCTACAGTGTGCCATTCGTAGATGTTTTTTTAAGTTAAAACATGTCGCTGGTACATGGATCTTGTCAAATATTTTTGGTAGAAACTTTACGTTTTGCTATCTAAATTTTTTGTTTTTTTTGTTTCGTTTTTTAGCTTAAATCGTGTGTTCAAAACGTAGTTTTGCATGTGCGAAAACCGTGTTTTTGGAGACATTTTAGGCTTAAAGTTCGAAATGTAGACAAAAAATTTAGATAGTAATATGGCAGCGTGAAGTTTCTCGCCGCGATTTGAGGGCGCATATCAGAGTAGTTCCCTAATTTTTTTGTTTACATTTCAAACTTAAAGAATAAAAAGGCTGGGAAAAAAAAAAGTTTTTTGCATGTGCAAAAATCATGTTTTTGCACATGATTTATGCTAAAAGTCTGAAATAAAAACAAAAAATTTAGATAAGTGTGAAGTTTCTCACCAAAAATATTTGACGACAAATTTAAACTAAAATAATAGCGATAAATTCCAACCAATTTCAATGCAAATAAATGAAAGAATTAAGAAAAAAACACAAAATTAAAGCAATGCAACAATTAAAATAACTCTACAAAATTAAAACAATTAAAAATTAAATTCACTTGCCATTCAAAATAGTTTCCGAAAAAGCAAAACATTAATTTCAAACAAAACCTTGTAAGGACAAACATATCACATATATAATCCAATATACTTTCATTAATAAAACTAAACGTCAATCGCACAATCATGTGAACCAAAATGTCACGATTTGGTTATGTCAGACATCTTTCTACAATTTAAAATTTCAAACATTACAATAAAAATTCCTCTAAAGTCAACTCACTGCAGGAAAACCAGGATCCATATCTCAAACTTCATTGAGAACCATATTCTTTAGACTCAACAATTTTTCTCCCATCAGAAACACAGTTTTTCTTCTGAATCTTCATATCATTCTCACATGTCAAGTTTGACTTCAAAAATCTGGTATCCCATAAAACTGCAAAAATTTGCTTCTGTCAGCATGAAGACAGCCATGAACAAATGCTTCGTTAATAACACCAACAACATATTTTCTCGAACTAAATCTAGCTTGAATATGCTCTAAAACATGTTGCTGATATATCTCCACAAGTTCCTTCATGGAACTATATGCCATTATTCAACACATAAACAGACAACCACCTGGACGAAAACAACCACATTCCTCACAAAACTTTCTACGTACACTTTGCTGATATCATGAGTTGCCTATTTTGACAGTATAGCACATTGTCTGGAAAATTCTTTGGTGGAGAATGGATTGGGTGAGTATTTAGAAAGTACCTTATTTATTCATAACATTGTTGAATATTTTAAAATGTTATCATTGTTTATCATTGAAATAGTTTATGTTTAATGTGACATACATTTAAGAGATTTTACTTGCATATATGTAATTGATCTTGATAAGTATTTTACTTTGAAAAGTGAAATAACATTTATTTTTCTTTCAGTATGGGCTGTTTATGCATTCGTAATTAGCCTTTAAATAACTATTAATCTTCGTACATTTATGTAATAAAATAAGAATGCTTATTTACCTTTGCAGATTACAGATAAAAAGCTTCAAGAATTATTTTCAACCAAAGGCACCATCACTGATCTGCAACTGAAATATAACAAATCTGGTGTTTTTCGACAATTTGCTTTTATTGGCTACAAAACAGAAGCAGAAGCACAGGATGCTAAAGATTATTTTCACGAAACATTTGTAAATACTTCACGAATAAAGGTAAGTAACAAATTCTTGTGTTTGGGATTTAAAAAGAGAAAGAAATGGTACTTCCTTTATTAAAACTACCATTACATAAACCTGTCATGACATTTAAAATTTGCCCACTGTATATTAAGTTTGCCAATTTTGTCATTTTAGTGTGATGGTGCCTTTAACACAGATATGCCAAAGAATATTTTAAAAAATGGCCCAAATATGTGTGAAATACTTTTGTTCTGCTTTAGCAAAGCAAAATAAGAATTATAAAATAATTTATTGCATGAAATGCCTGTATTAATATAAATCATTTTTTGTAATTAAATACTCTATTAAGAATAAAATTAATAAATTAATTTATAACTTCCTTATAAAATTTAATCTGGCTTGCTGAGATCAGAGTTACACAAAATCATAAGGAAGTTTTTATGAGCATGTTATAACGTTACACTTGTCCATTATTGGCAGTAAAATGCACAGTTTGGTTACATTGTTGAAGACATTCAATGACAAATTACATAAGTATCAAAATATCTTTTTGAAATATATATAAAACTTTGTTATGGTTTAAGCTCTTCTTTGAGGTGTTATGCATGGCCCTTCCTTTCCTTTGTTTGGAGGATCCTTTATTGTTCTTTATTTTGATGGTGGTCTATATTGTTGTCTAATTAGGTAACATAATACTTTTGTAATTGCTGTAGTTGGATTAATTTAATTTTTATTTTATATGTTATAATAGTGAATTTTTAATGATATGCTTTGTTTTTACGTCCTAACTTGTGTAAGCTTGCCTTTCTTACCTAGTTTCTTGTATTTGTTCCTTTTTTTTTTTTTTTTTTTTCCTCCTTTTCATTTTTTTAAAGGTTTTTAGGAAAGGGAAGTTATATTATATTTATATTATCTTAATTTAAATATTACCCATAATAATCCTTTTAACTAAACATCTAGTAGTGTGCTTTTGTTTAAAATGAGTATTGTAGGGAATAGATGTTTTACCTTCATGCAATTTTATTTTAACTGGCCTATAAAATTTATTTCTATTCACAAAATGTATTAAATATTGCAGGTTGAAATTTGTACCGATTTGGGGGATCCTAATAAGCCAAAACCTTGGAAACAGAAGCTTGAAAAGTTTAGTCAGAAAATCAATGAAAGTAATAAAGAGATAAATAAGGATAAAGAAGTATGAAACATATTCTATGGAAATAACCAGCTTAGAGTATTGTAATAAAACCATAATATATATTGTTACAAGTTGCCTTTTCAGCTGCAAAAGTTTATTATAAAGATGTATTGCAATAAAGTATCTATGACTGTTACAGAAGTAACTTAAATTGTATTAATAATATTGCAAGGATTAGAATGTTGTATTAATATTGTGAATTTAGAATTTATTTTAGTGCTTTTTACTCCTAATAATAAGTTAAAAATTATTTTTGTATTTTATAGAAAGAAAATAAAACTAGAAAAAAGAAACATGAGACTATACCAGAAGAGGTTTGTATTTCTGATAATTATAATTCTTATTTGTGTGTAATTAAAGTCACTTTAAAAATTACAATTGTCTTAATTAATGATTAATGAAATATACTTAGAATGCATATAATTGATTCTTAACAAATCTGGGACTGAATGACCTGGATCTGCTTATGTTGTATACCCTCATTAAACCATCACTCCAGCAGACCAGTCAAAAATGACATTATAAGTGGAGAGACTGTAAAGGTGGACTTGCAAATACTATTTATAAAAGCACACTATAATGCTACTTAGAAAATTAATTGTATTATAGAGATCAAATAAACTCAAGAAAATTACTTACTGATTTATTAAAAAAATATTGGATAATGCAAGTTTGTTACTTTGCACAGTTTTTTTCAGTTTTTCTCATCATTGTAGAATTTTTGTTGCCTATTTTTTTGTAAGAAATTAAAAATCGTTTAACAGTATCTATTGCAGTTGTAGCACCTTTGTACATCGGTACTTGATCCAGTTCATCTTCATTGGGCTTAGGACAGTTTAAATTTTTTATTTCAGAAAGAATATTTGACACTAAAATTTCCCCCAGAGTTCACAATTATTTCACTGCCAATGATACTTATTCAATCAAATCAAATTCTAAATCGCATTTTTTTAATTAGTAGCCTAAGTTTGAGAAAGACATCATCTTCACTCTCACTGTGTTTGGGATTGGCATCTGAAGAATTTATTTTGAAACCTTTGTGTCTGAAGCAATTGGCAATAGTTTTGGTGAAAATCATGCTTCAACTTTTAGTTATATAGAAATTGCATTAAGTACTATAACAGAGAAAGGAGGATCTGTCATCAAAGACAGTTATAAAATCCTTCATGAGAAATTTTCTATAGTTTAATTTAAAATCATGAATAATCTCTGGGTCCATGATGCAGTACACTTGTTACAGTTAGTGGTAGATAGATCATTTCTGAATTGCATACTCTAATGTGAGCTGTGCAGTTATCAATAACTGAAGCATTTCTATACCTTTCTGTGAACATTTTATGCCTAAATTCTTGATTATATTTTTTTCTATAACTCTGAGATCATCCAAATTTTGGAGTTGGCATCATAACTGACTGCAGAAATTGTATGCCCTTAGAACACCAGGAGGTTTTTGGATTTTACTTTGACAGCAGGTTTCAGCTTTTTCCTGCCATCCATCCATCTTGGATCCCAGCAACATGGATGGGAATGAAAACAGTCATTCTTTTTTTCCATTTTCCCTCCAATGCATTTTGCCTTCCTGAAAGGAAAAAGAGTTTTGTCAGTCAAGCTTTTGTAAAACAATCTTCATTACATTGCATTAAAAATGTCACTTAAATTATATTGTTTGCATATCTCTTTTATCACTGTGTTTTTCCATTTAGAATAACCTCTGAATCAAAAGCAAATACTTCTTCCTTGTTTTTTTTTAATGCTATGGTATCCTGATTTTTTTAATGATATAGTATTTTATCCAGCTTTTCCATAGCTGGATAGTATTTTATTTTCAATTTCTTAGGGTGACACTTTTTTTTTTTTTTTTTTTCTCCTATCACAGTCTGCAGTGTCTTCATGATAAAATATCATTTAACAATGTTTGAGGAATTCCATGAGCTTTGGCAAAGGCAGCTTTCAACTGATTTGATTCTTCAAACTCCTCAATAATTTCCTTTCTTTCTTTCTTCTCCCCCCCCTGAAAATATTAAAATTTTACTTTTTTCTTACATTCTACTGAAAAGTAAGAGTGTTTAAGTTTCCACTTAAGAACTTCTTGTAACTAAAAGAAACCAGGAATGATGCAAGAAAATTTTAAATTGAACACATGTGCCATAAACTACTTACTCATTTGTGTATTTTTCTACAAATGCTCTTTTGTCCACTTCCTTCTGTCCAGTTATTGTGTGAATGAGTAGAAGAAGGGAAAGGGTTTTACAATGCACTGTGCAGTGTAAGCTTCCTTTTCCTGAGGCTGAAATGATCGGTAAACCGTGTGGGAGGTTATCTCACGTCTAGAAAATGGTGGTTTATCCGATTTTTCTTTACCATTATTTCCCTATTAAGTTGGTCAGGACTTTGCAAAACTGACAGTTTAAACAGGATGATAGCTTAACTGAGTGATGGTTTAATGAGAGTTGACTGTTAATCTTTGGATTATGGTAACTTGGTGATTTTTTGGCGAAAATTGGCGACCATCCCTGCTACAGCAACCTGCTAGTTCTTGTTTGGATGCCATTTTGTTTTCACGAAGTAAAGGCATGCTTTTTTTTTTTTTTAAACTCAACATTTTTTTCAAACTATCTGCTAGCCGAATTACGCTTATGCTAGAACTTTTATGGAACAAAAGTGCTTAATCATGAGGATTAGGTGTGAAAATTGAGAGAAAGTGCAACCGGCCACTGTTTGCCGTGTTTTGAATTGCACTCCGGTATCATCCATGTACCTCGACCTATTTTCACTTAAAAAAACATCCCATTGCACACAAATGGCATTGCGCACCTCTTGACTTTAATCCATGTACACTGCTAAAGTCCAGCTAGACCTTATCGCCTTACAAAATGTCGCCAACTACCTGTTACCATATTCCAAAGATTAGCCATTATTTTTTTTCTATGGTTACGAAATAGAAAAACTTTAAAAGTTTGTAGCAGTTTGAAAAGTCAACAGCTAAATTGTACAGTTTAACAAATATCAAAATCTTTAAATCATAGGTATGCCATGAATGTTTAAAGCATTTGTTACGATATACCTTATCAAAAATATTTTCATATTTTTATTGTAAATTTGGGAGTGTTTTTCTTTGATTGTCAAAAGATTTAAATTTGTTATTATTTTTAAAATTTTTAATGTTAAAAATTAAACTCATTTAGTTTCTAAAACAAAAAGCCATTTAATCTCTTAAGTATAATTTTTAAAAAAGAGTAACAGTTAATATTTTATTGGAAGATAAGTCATGTATAATTATGTCATAATTTTACAAAATAGTTCTTTCATATGCAAAATGTTGATAAAAATTTGAAAATGCATTTAATCTGACATTGTATCTTGTGTTGTGATTTTTTTACTCCTTAGGGTACTTACATATTATCCCGCTGACTCAAACTTGTCAGCGTGACAATATTGGACAATTTTGATGTAACAACGTATTAATAACATATCACCTTCATTTGGTGTAATCATAATTGATTTCCAATATGCTACATTTTCTTTTTGTGAACAAGGATATAAATTAACTGTATTGCTATATTTTTCCCTGTATTAAAAAAATTAGTAAAAAAAAAAAAACTGCAGAACAAAAGTCAGAGTTACAAGATCCAGCATAAGAAAAATGATGTATTAACAGATATGACATGGTCAACTGTATATGGCCGACAAAACAGTAATAGACTTGAACAATTACCTGCAGGATGTTTGTACTCATTACTTTCTAAACAGAGCTTCTGGAAAGATCGAAGGCCTAACAAAGTAGTAGAAACCAATGAAAGCCTTTTTACTGAGCACAAAAACGGAGCAAGTTGAATGCTGATTGTTTGTTAAAAAAAGAGGTGTCAGTTCTTTCGTAATTCTAGAGAAACAGTTGGCACCATTTTGGTTTGACCTCAACTATAATGCTTTTATTGTAGCCAACTTATGTGGTCAATGAGGTAATATGTGAGTACCCTTGAAAATTACACCAACTTTCTTCTTCTGCTGGCACCTAGATATGCCAATAAAGGAGGGTCTTGTGTGTTCTGTCCTTAGTGATTGATGTATCATAAAATAAGAAGTCTCCTTTCTCTGAATCTTAGCAGACTGTGAATAAGGTACAGAGTTATATGCCCAAAGATGACGAGTTCAAAACGTACTATGTCACTGAATATTACATGTTGTGTAATGAGCATATTTTCCTCCTACATAAAGGCTACATCACAAGTGAAGCAGATCTACAAGAATTGTAAAAATCAGCTAGATCATAACCATCAGGTTAATGTGGCACAAAATCAACAATCTTTCTGTTGGCACAGGATCAACATAACAGCTCAAAAGCCTGTGTTAAATCATGTGCATGTACCAAATAAGAAATGAATTCTTACTCTTTCGATTATGTGCTTTTGTTAATTATAAACTCTGCTTTTATTGTGCCAATATTAAATGTATACGCGCATTGATTTCACGCAGTTTCGATCTTATGCCTGTCTGTGTTGGTCCTACAATTTACTTTTTATTGTGTATAATATTCGTATTTTATTAATATTCCTTTCCTGTTTTTTAATCTAAATCCTCCTTGAGGAAAAATATAACTTTTGAAAATTCTTCAACGCAAGAAAAAAGTTTTCTGATTAATATCTGTATTTTTCTGAGAGTATAGATTTCTCACTTGGCATTCTTTCATTCATTCAAGTATGCTAAAATGCTTTTGTGGGAAGAAGTTTGTAGTTTTTAGTCCAAAGGGGCAATTTGCCCAGAAGGACTATTAATTTTTGTTTTGGCATTTTGCATCGATTTATGATAAGCATTGATTCACTTTTCAGATTGTTGCCACTAAATATTATCACCCTGTATTATATTTAAAGAAATTAAATAATGAAGAATCTGCATGAATGTATGTATGTTTCTCACATTCTGATAAAACAATGGTACCTAGAGCCATCAATTTGAACGTAACTTCTATAAAATAAGGGCATGTGGAAGCCCTAACTTGAATTTGAAATTTGTTTTATTATCGATTTCGTATTTTCTTAAACTTTAATGAATTTTTTATTAACAAACTGAACAATTCCAAAGCGGGCAATGGCAACGATGTATGGGGGGGGGATTTATCTCCAGGGCACGAGATTTTGTATCAGAAATTCTAAAGATATGCTCAATTTAAAATTATTTTGCGATATTTCTGTTGAACTGAATTTTATGGTTTAAGTGCAAAACACATGATATTTAATAAATAAAGGTATTACACAAAATGTTTAAAAAAGGTCCTTTTAGATGGAATTTAAAATCTGAAACCTTTCAGACTTATTTGGCTATTTTTTAAAATTATTTTTAATGTTTTTGTTCTGAAAACAGAGCTTGCTGTTTGTTATTTTGTATGATACTGATTGAAGGACATAAGATATATTCATTAATAAGTGTATCTATGTAAGTGAAATGTTTATTTTTAAAAGTTCTGATGTAAACACATCAGAACTTTTAAAAATAAACATTTTTGCTTTGTCTTAGATTTCACATAGTTTTCATTTTTCTTCTTTATTTGTAAATGTTTAAAATAGATTTATTGTTATTATTATAGCTTATGAAGGATGCACAATTCAGAGAATTTTTAGAAGTTCATAGTGACAGGAAATCTAAACCTGTCTGGTGTGATAGTAATTTTGATGATCAAAGTGTGGATTCTAAAGAACCAGCTTCTGAGCTCAAGGATGATCCTGAAAAGGAACTTGAAGGTTAATAAATAAAATGCATGCTGTGATTATTGAAACTGATAAGAAATTTCTATCAGTAATTTTACTTTGTTTAAAATAGAATGATGTTTATTCAGTTATTTAGCCTTAAATAATATTAAATTTAAGTTGTATTTTTCTTGTGTACCGTAAAATACGTGTATTATGCTTTTCTGATTAACAGACTATGTTACCTAATTTTGAATTTAGTACAACCAGAAGAACTTTACTTGCTTATAACTCTGTTATGTGAAATTAGCATAAGGTGAATACTCATCTAATGGCTAACACACAGGATTATATTAAACTGTTGAAAATTATCATGTTGAAAACACAAAAACAAGTCAAATTAAAATCCAAGTAAAAATTTTATTAAGCCACTTCTGGTTATTTAATATTGAAATTACAATACAAACTAAACTAAGAAGTTGTCTTATAAAAAAAATGTTAAAAAGATGAGGCTGCTTACCCTATAGCTGTATTTCAAATAATTCCAAAACAAGGTTTTAATTCAGAGCTAAACACCTGGTGTTTCTATACAGCATACTATCATCTTGTTTTTGTTCCTAGCAAGGGCAACAATTAAGGTTAAACTCCTGCATTTAAATAATGCTGCATGTCTTTAAATTTGTGTAACTTTCTTCACCTGTCTAAGTAAAAACTATAATTAAGCTATTTGAATATGGTAAGACCACAAAAGCTATCAGCATAAGTGGAATGATTCCTTTGTCAAGAACTTTCCAAAGAAAATTGGTTCACATTTATGTTACATGTGGTGAAAACTAGCCATGCAGTCAGCATGTTCACCCATCTCAAACCTAAAGCAGATTGAACTACCAGTATTCAATGCTCTTAACCACTTGAGTGAGCAGCAATTGAAAATTCTGACATAAGACCAAAAAAACTGAATATGGTTTAACTCAAAATAAAACTGTGTGTGGAATTGAGGAATAACTGTCACATGCTCAACTAATAATTACTTGACTATTAAATATCTGAATTTGTTCAAATCTTTTTGGACAGATATTGTGAAAAGTCAAAATAAAATAAGGTGTAAAATGTGATAAATGAAATTCTTCAGACCTGTCCAACAGCTCTTCCCTTAGTACCGGATAATTTAATTTTTGGATCGTTACAAAACAGCTTGTAGTCAATATTCCTATGTTCAGTTATCATAGTTTATCTGAATCCTCCTTTCTTCCAAATCTGTTTCTTGTAATCATTTGGACATGGGGGAAAATATGTGTTTTGTGAGTGTATTATTTCTTAACTGTGGTACCTAATTTAAAAAAAAAAAAAAAAGAAAAGAAAAGAAAAGAAAAGAAAAGTAGGAGTGAATGAAATTAGAGTTTTAGTCAACTTAAAAGTCTTTCATTGTTATGCTGTGATGACATTATAAACCATCTATATATTTGAAAGAAACTAGATACTTGGGCTGGCTCTCAATTTTTTTCTCTGTAAACAAAAATGTATTTATTGTAATGTAAATGGGAGAATTTGTTTTTATTTTATTATATTTTATTTAAATAAAAATTATGATCAGTTGAAATATTTTTATATCCTTAAAATGAAATAGAAAATATATATTTTTTGACGAAATTAATAAAGCATTAAACCACACATGTAGAAAAAATTGGACTTAACAAAAGGTTAATAGAAAGTTACACTATGTATTGTAAGGCAAAACTTCCATGCATAATGAAGGAATTATGTTACCATATTTGTGTAATGTATTAGGGGAAAAAAATTGGTTTTGAATAAATAGTGATTTATGGAGTAAATAAGGAACAGTCAGCTTAGTAGTAGCCAAAGTCTAAAATGGCTAGTGCCCACAATTAAAATAGATATATTTATAAATGCGTTACCTCTGATCAATAGCAAAATATATATAGCTGCTTTAATTTATAAAAAATTTCATGAGAAGTTACTTTTAATCAAATCTGTTTAATATTTAGATGAATATAAATTTTAAATTTATACTTTACTTTTTGTACTATTTGTAACTCTTGATGTACTATCTGCTTATTTTATACAAATGTTGTATTAATAAAAACCGTAGAATAAGTTTGATTTCATTTTGACATAAGCAACACGATAATAATGTAGTCTAGAATATTTTTTAGTGAACCAGATACTGAAAGTTAATGCATGATGCATTTCTGAAGACTCTCAGTAAAACATATTTTAAGATTATATTTATGTATTCTATATAGAAATATAAATATTTTATATACCTGTCGTAAATAGCATGTAATGTAATCTTCTTTTTCATGTAGCCATAAAAAAGAAGACTTTTCCAATCAGGAATGGATTATTTAGATTTTGGGAAAAGGGTATTTACTTATGGGGAAAGATATCTTTGAGAAAGACTTTTTAAATTAAATTAGTTCATGTTCACATTATGCATTAAGAAAACACTGAAAACCCTCGTGCAGTTAGCCCATTCACTGGAATTTTAACCTTGTCAAATTACCATTTTTCAGTGATCTGACTGATTTGTCGCTGGTGAGCTTTGAAATCAAGATTTCTGATTTATCTATTTTTTTAATGTATAATTTCAGACAAAGGCTAAAATACATTGCTATGTTAAGTGAAGTTTGACACTAGTTTTATATATTTTGGATTGAATGTAGGAAAAAAAGCATTAACTTAAAAATGTGAATAAAACAAAGTTGGACTAGTATGTATGTATGTAATTGAACGGAGTTTAATTTAAAATTAGTCAAAAATGTTATAAAAAATTCATTGGGGCACAAATTATTATTCTTTATGAAGGTACATAATAAATGGTGACAGAAACATATTTTATTAATTATAATAGTTGGGCAAATAGTCATAGAAATGATCAATTATGTGTGTTTGAAATTATGTACATTAAAGATGTAAATTGTGTAAATTATATCATTATGTAAATTATATCAGTTAAGCATATTAACAAAAAAAAAGTAAAATATAACTATAAATTATTGTGAACTATGTGTATCATATTTTTAAATTGAAGGTATTATGTCTTTTGGATGAGTAATATTTATCAGGTGGTGTTTGAACTACAAATGGCCTGGTATCTTAATATAACATCACAGCCTAAAAACTTGGACATTGCTACTAATTAAAAAAAAAAACAGTCTTTAGTAATAAAAATATAAGTTTAAGTGCAGTCTAATGATAGGTATTTTTTCCTTATGATATATATATGATGATTGTCCAGTACTTTTTTAATAATATGTATTTATTTTCACATAGCTGTGTATAAACCATGGCAATGATATTCAACATGTAATTATAAGAATTGTGTTAATTATTATAATAATACTGTGTTTATAAAAATGTAATTTTCGAAGAAAAGGGTCATATATATGTTCTTTTGATTTTGTTTTATTTCTTTCTTACCTAGATGATGATGATAAACAAAAATCCAAATCTGTAACTGCAAAAGAATTAAGGAATACTTCAGTATGTGTTTGTATTTTTATTTCTGTACTCTGACTTACTGAATGTTCCGTTAAATATTTAAAAAATAGCCTGCTGCTTGAGCAATAAGAAATTTTGAAGAATTGCTTTAATATTAAGCATGTCTACTTTGCAATGAGCTTTGCAATGCAAATAAGTTTTTGAAATTAGCTCTAAGAAATATTATATCAGCTTGCTGCATTCTGTATAGCCAATGACGTTTCTCTGCAGTGTATAGAAAAGTTAGTAATCTAGAGCAGGGTTTCTTAAACGTTTTTCAGTCGTGACCCCTTTTTATCACTGAGAGTTTTTCGTGACCCCCAGGACTCCATAATATTTAAAAAAATTTTGTGGGACCCCATAAGTATTGAGCAAATCCAACGCATGCGTGAGTGAAACTGTCAATTTTTTCACTTGTACTGTAATATACGATTGCAGTTTTAGGTCATTAATTTCTGAGTTTAAGAGGTAGAACAATGTGAAAATTTTAAATAAGTAACAGACGAAATGACAGCATCACATGTAAAGCAAGCAAATTGAACGTCTATATTATAAAAAGAATGCGTCAAAACATTTTAGTTTTTTTCTTTGTCTGTATTGTCTCATCTTTATCTATTTTCAGATACATTGTGTAAATATATTTGATAATTGTAAAATTATTATAAGTTAAAGAAATGTGAAAACTGCTAAAATTTTTGGCGACCCTCTGCTGCAGGTCCCGCAACCCCCAACCCACAGTTTAAGAAACCCTGATCTAGAGTAACATTGCAGTCAAATGTTATAAATGACTGGCTTTTGTATACATTACTTAGAAGCATCCTAAAAGTGATGAAATCTTGAAATTTAATAGCTAAATGATGTAGCACATTTATATCTTTCATTTAAGGGACTCGTTACAATAACCGATGCAATTGCTATAACTTAGACTAAAATAAAGTCCCCCCCCCCAATGGCAGATCCTCAGCCTTGTGCTTAGCCACTACTAAGGCCAGAAGTGGTGGTCACTTTACTATGGAAGCACCTAATAGGTGGACCACCTTTGCCTGCTATAAAGGGACGGACAGTTACAACCATGCCTTCTCTGGCATTCAAACCCAGGCCCTTTGGTCCTGCAGTTGGTTTCCCTAACCACTATACCTTCTGGGTGGTAACTAAAATAAAGTATAAAATATTATTATTATTTTTAGCATTTCTTTTTATTAGAATATTTATGTACTTTATTTTCATTTGTATCCATGTCTAGAATCTGTTACCTCATTTCTAGTAATTTTAAAATGCTTGTTAAAAAGGTAATTTTATAAAGTAATGCCCCTGTATCCATTAGTAATGCATTGCCTAATTTAACCATAGATGCATGAAACTGCGGATAATCATACGGGAGACCTAGTTTGCTTTTAGCTGCATCTAGTGGCATTGTCTTGTAATTAGGGTAGTAACTGTGCCACTGCTCAGTGGCATTGGTATTGGTAAATGATCTTAAGGGTCAAAACATTGCCTGATGTAGAAATTACGTATTATACTTCCAAGGCAAATGTATACTTGTAGTTGTTAAGTATGTTGATCAGTTTTCTTTGCAAGTGCTGCTTATTCATTGAGATAGGTTTGGTGACTGCACTGGCAATACCAGATACTATTTGAAACAGGACATCCATATAATGTACATAAATATTCAAGTTCAATTGATAAATTATACCCTATTAGACATTATTAACATTAAATAAGTTATATTGTACATACCATATACAGGGTGTTTCAAAGATCATGGGACAAACTTGGAGGGGTGGTGGAGCATACTAAAACATGCATTTTTCGTATAGGAATGTAGGGTCTAAAGTGACGGGCTAAGGCAGGAATGCAAAAAAACAACATGAGAGGAAAATGTGTTTTTGTACAAAATCAACGCAAAGTGCTTCTTTGCAGCAATACAGTATTCACTATAAATGTTCAAAAAAGGGAACACTAACAGTAATAAAACTACAACTGTGATTGGCTGGCAATGCAGCGTTAGAGGGTGGTAGTGAGCCGGACAAACCACAATTCGATGCATCAGAGGATCATTCGCAACTCTGATGTCGAGCGTGATGGGTGAGTTTAGGCGCAGGGCAAAAGCTGCCATGCATCTTATGTATGGTGCTGCTAATGGGAACAACAGAGCAGTGCTACGGTTGTACCAGGAACGGTTTCCGAACAGGTGTTTGCCAAAGCACACAATGTTCAAGAGGTTGCATCGGTCTTTGTGTGAAAACGGGTCATTTGAAGCCACCTCCGACACTAGGAAGAAGTGCACGACAACCTCGCATTGACGAATCCATCTTGAATTGACGAATTCATCGCATTGACGAATCGCATTGACGAATTCATCCATTGTGCATGAATCACCTCAGACATGTGCAAGAGCTATTGCATGTCGTCTGCAGCTGACTCATTCCACCATTTGAAGAGTATTGCATGAAAATGGTTTGCACCCATACCATTTGTAGAGAGTCCAGGATGGCATCTTCAATAGCCACAACATGTACGTGTGGGCAATTGCTGAACCACATGGCACACATCCACATGCATTCCAAACCCACTTCTCCGTGAATGTGTGGGCGGATATTGTTAACGACTACCTTATAGGCCCATACCTCTTACCTTCACATAAAAATGGTTTATGTTATCATAATTTTCTGCAAGAGGTGCTACGGGAATTGCTGCACCCGTAGCTGTCGGGATGTCGTTTGTGATTGCATGTGGTTCCAGCATGAATGGTCGCACCAGCCCATAACCCCGTGCGGGTCCGCAGTTACTTGGATGAGACATTTCCGGGCCGAATGGATTGGCTGTGGTGGATACCATTTGATGGCCACCCCGTTCGCCAGATTTATCCAGCTTGTTTTTTTTTTTTTTTTTTTTTTTTATGGCGACAATTTGAAGAACAACATTTTACGAGACTCCCGTTGACTTACTGGAGGAACTCCTTGCACGACTATCTATTGCGGCTGCAAGCGCGTGCGAAATGCCTGCTGTTTTTCAATCCCTTCTGCGACATTACCAAGCATGTATTACTGCTGGTGGTCACAATTTTGAATGTTTATTGTGAATACTGTATTGCTACAAAGAAGCACTTTGCGTTGATTTTGTACATAATGTACTTTGCGTTGATTTTGTACATTTTTCTCTCTGTCATTTTTTTGCCTTCCTGCCTTAACTGTCAATTTAGACCCTACATTCCTATAAAAAAATGCATGTTTTAGTATGCTCCACCACCCCTCCAAGTTTGTCCCATGATCTATGAAACGCCCTGTATATATTGGTTGCCATTAATTAAGGAAAAATCACAAAACTAATGATTACTCAAAAAGTTCCTTATAGAATTCAATGAAAATGAATCATAGCGTATGATACATATTAAGGAATAAAATAACATGAAAAGAAATTACCAGACAAATAAGGTGTTATAGAAATTAGCATATGTATAAAATAAGCAAATTGGATATGTCAGTTTGGAATAGGAAAATTGGCTTCAATATAGAGGTTGAGCTCCCGTAGAAGCAATATAGCACATACAGCGATGTGTGTTGTTGTCAATTATATAGTGTATCAGTTCCGTAGGAGAGCCACTGCTCTTGCAAAGCACCTGCAAGCGTGGCAAGGGTTTGAAGAGGAGGACTGAGAGCAACTATATATCTTCCTAAACTACAACATCCCAAAACTTCCTAACTAAAGCATCCCAAACATGCTCAGTAGGATTCAGGTCCAGTGATCGAGCTGGCCACTCCATGTGCTGAATTTGTTTGGCTGTGGAAGATAATCATCTATGATGTGAGCCCTATGCAGTCTAGTGCTATCGTCCTGTAGCAGAAAATCATCATCTGTTGCCCCGACATTGAGGGCACACATAAGCATCAAGGATATCATCATTGTAGTCTTGAGCAGAATTTAAATTGAACAGAAATACATTTTGTTTTTCTTTTCTAACACAGGTGTCCAAATACTTAATAACAAATATATATATGTTCACAAGCATTTGCTGTGATAACCTATATTAAATTTTCAATTCCATTAAATTTAAATTCCTCCAAATTTTACAAAACAGATGCAGGAGTGGTCCTAAAAAAGACTTTTTTTATAGACCTAAAAAAGACTTTACTAATAAAAAAGACTTTTTTTATGAGTCATTCTCTCATGTATATTACAAATATCAAGCAGCATGGTCAGCAAAAAATAGTCATCACTTTCGTTCAAGAATCTCCACCATGCTCAATGAAATAATGTGAAAGCACTTGTTGTGTGGTACTATCCAATGATCATATCACAAGTTCCTATTCATTAAATATTCATTTTTATTTAACAAATTAGTAAAAAAAATGTCAATGAAATATGTATTGCATGTAATTAATTTATTTAGGATAAATACTAAATGTGCACCCAGTGAGAAGCCCCGATTTTTTTCTCTTACTGAAAGCTGTAAATTGCATATACACCATTACCCACTTATCATGTATGTTAATTTTATTTTGTTATATTTTTTTAGCTCAAAATAGTAAACAGTTCATAGAATTCTACTTATTTTTATTGTAGGAAAAAACATTTGATGATTCATTTACTGTGAAAATAAAGAATTTGCCTTGTAAATGTAGAAGGGTAAGTTTCATAAACTTATTGTAATAAATGCACTGAAGTATAAGACTTTCTTATGTTCCTAGTATAATATTCATTTTGATTATCTGTTTTCAGAAGCAGATTAAGGCTTTTTTTCATCCGCTAAGAATTGCCAGTCTTCGTCTTCCTCCAAAACAGAAAGGTATTTTTATTTATAGTCTGCCTTTAAGATGCCCTATTTTCATATGATAAATGATTTCATGAATGAATTTAGATTTGGTAATGTTTGTTATGTTAAATAACTTAAAATTATTTTACTTAATATATTTTATTTTATTAGGCTTTGCATTTGTTAAATTTAAAACAGAAAAAGAGATGATGCGAGCTCTCAATAAAAATAAAGGATTTTTAGGTGAGTATGCTGTTAATTTTGTTCAATAGAATTTCTAACATTTGTAAGAATAGGTATAGGAAGAACTTTGTTTCATTAAGTTTTAATTGTACATATTTTTAAAAATCTATTTGTTAAATTTAAAAAAGAGAAAGCGATGAGGCAAGCTCTGGGTAAAAATAAGGAATTTTTAGCAGGGTTTTTCTGTTATTTTTTCAAAAGAATTTAGCATTTGTAAAAATAGGTATTGTAAGAACCTTATTTCATAATTTACTTTCAGTTTTTCGAAAATTTTACTAGTTTGTATCTAGAGAAAATTTTAAATATAATCAGAACATAATTTAATTATACTTCTTATCTAAAATACTTTAGAATATGAATTTTTATATTAGAACTTTTGAGAGCTGTTTCTAATAAAAAGAGAGTATTAAATTCTGATGTTAGCAATAATACGTATATAGTATAACTCCATGAATATTAAAAAAAAAAATTCCAGAAGGTACTTTTAAAAACAAGATAAAATAGATATAAAGACTCAATAATGTAACTGAAAAAGCTGGAAGATTTATTCTTAAATACCAAATAAGATAGTTTAAGGAAATTCAGCTGAAAGTTGTCTAATCTTCAAACGATAAATGGGTTATTGAGTTTTGTTTAGTATTTCTGCAATTAAGACTAAAACAAAAGATAAAAAGGAAATGTAAATAAAAAAAACTTCTTTTAAAAGTGCTATGAAGAGGATTAAAAAAAATATATATTTGAATATATTTTTGTGAAATATGCGAAGCTAATGTTTTCAATTTTAACTGTTCATGTATTTCAGTATTTTTCAGTCGTATATCTGTCTGCTTGTCAATTTGACCATAAAATTAATAATTTCTTTGCAATTCTTTTCCAATTTTATTGTTGTATTTTAAAATGTGTACAAATTTTTTAAATGGTGCTGTTTTTATTAAAAGCAGTTTCTTAAATCAATTTATTTCAGCATTACAATTGCTGTGTTTACATGAAAATATGACCCCTTTTTTAAAATTTGTTAAGGTCTTATAATTAGGTATTTGTTGTATTCCTAGTTCCAGCAATTTTTATAATCAAATGATTATATTTTTTGCTTTAATAAGTGCGTGTGGAATTTTCCATCAGTGGAAGAAACTGCTGTAAAATTTCAACAGGAATTTGAAATTTTGCAGTAATATCTCTAAAAGGAAGAATGAAAAGATGCATTTAGTGTAGACAGCCAGCATGACCAAAGTCTGTGCAATTCTCTGATATTTTTTTTTAAGCTTAAACAGGTTACTGCTACTTGGAAAGAAGAATAGTTAAAAAAAATTATGAAAAGATTTTGAGAAGAATGTGCTTTTTTTAATTTTGTCATATGATTCATATATAATAATTACAATTTATATTTTAAATTACTAAAGTATGTTTTCTTTTCATCTCGTTTACCTTTTATTTATGATAAATTTTGATAGTTTACAGATCATTTTCTAAAAAATGTCACAAAAACCAACTTGCATCCAATATGTAATTTTTTCATTTGTAAAAAAAGTCACCAAATTGCATAAAGATGGGTTTGTTAATATGTAAGTACTAAGTGAAATTGCAGAATGAGAGAAAGGAGTTTAATTATCATAATATACTTGCAGAATGATTACACTATTTAAATACTAAATAAACCACATAGGTAGTTATCATATATATAACCGCATAACTACTTCTATTTGCAATAGTCATGTCTGTCTAAGTGATTTCAATATAAGTCTACATTCACTGTACTGATATGCCTGAAAACAAATAGCTAACAATATATCACTAAACATTTGCTTACCTTACATTTATCTTTTGGGCCTCAACTCATCCAGTTCTTATTAAAACAAAGTAACTAAATAGTATTTTTAATCATGTTATTTTAAGGAAATTCTGAAGTAAGAATAATAAGTAAGAATATCTCTGGAATACAAATGTCATATTTAGATTATAAATTTTTTTAAATAAATGAATTATTAACTCTAAACATCATTTCACTATACATCTGATTAAAATGAAGTTAAATATTACCTGCCTGGTGTACCTTCATTGTTTAGACCTATTACTTAGAGAATTATAGCAATTTTGGATCTGTTCTTGAATCTGTCAAATTGATTATTTAGAGAAGAAAGATCAGCTGGTTGCAAGAGGGAGCTTTCATATTTTCTCTAATAGCAGACTTAGATGATTTACATTTAATAAGAAATAATTTTTAAAAAATTTTAACTTTTTCAGATAGCTCAAGTTTTTCTTTAAAACATTATAAAAGTAAATTTCTGTGCATTTAGTGTAGATTTTACCTGCTGGAAAACATTTCTACCCTTTAATTTTGGCCTGTTTGATGACATTAAATTTTTTTGAATCTTGAACCTCATGTTTCAGTATCAGCTTTACATCGTTTTTAATTGTATTCACAAATGTAAATTCAAATTCAGTATGTAAACTTTCTGTTGGTATGTATATAACTAATTGTTTAGATTTAGGAATATGAATTGTATTTGCCAAGTGTGAAAATATGCTTATTTAGAGTAGCACTGAGAGCATAGACATGTGATTGCTTACATTTTGGTATTTTCAAATCCAGTTCTTATTAAAACAAAGTAACTAAAATGTATTTTTTAATATTGTTAACTTCTAAATTCATTGGTTTCATTTTAAACAAACTGCCTTTAAAAAAAATTCTAGTTGCAACTAATATGAATGTCTTCCTAACAAAACTGTTACTGAACTTGAGATTTTAAGAGTGTATTGAATGTAAGTTGTAGCCAATTCACTGAAACTTCCAACAAGCTATTTCACATTTTCCCATATAAGAAACTACCACATTAAATATGCTATTGAGCATTGATAATATTTCTAGAATTATCTATCAAAGTACAAAGCTACTTGATGCCAAAAGAGGGTAAATAAACCAAAACATAAGGTTAAGTCATTAGCTAATAATACATGTTTTCTGTGAGGAGAAAAAATTTTCAGTATAAATTTATGCTCATTAACGACCCGGTTTTAATCACTTAAATTGGAATGTGCAAGTCAAATTAATTGCTAGACAGTCTGGGTTTTAGTTATGCCTAAATAACTTTGTACAGCCTTATATACAAACAACACTTATCTAATCAATTGGTACACACTCAGTTATAACCACATACTTAACATGATAAGCGCTTTCAGCTGGTGTATGACAAGGCTGATCTTTAGAATCTATATGTTTTTGGTGATTACTTGAATGGTATCTTTCAGTGACATTCAGTTCATTATGCTAAGGCAATTAGTAGTCGTAGATCCTGTACAAGCAGTTTTTTTTTAGGGGGGATATAAAAATTCATGAACCTTGAAATTTCTGTTATTTTATATTTATTTTTTTCATATTTAGCAAACCATATGTTAGAAGTAAAAAATATCGAAAAAAGAGGAAGAAAATTATGCCCAAAGGTGTATTTTTTTTAACGTTTTGTGTGTTACCTTCTTTTATTAAATATCATGTTGTTCACAGTTATACCCTAAAATTCTATCCAATAACAATATCGCAAAATAATTTTAAAATGAGTATGTCTTTAGAATATCTGGTACACAGTCTCGCATGTTGGAGTTTTTTTTTTTTTTTTTTTTTTTTTCTGTACAGTGTTGCCATTGCTCATTTTGAAATCATTGAGTTTGTTAATCGAAAATTCTCTAAAGAATTACAAAATATGAAATTGGTTATAAAACTAATTCCAAATTAGGGCTTCCAGATGCCCATATTCAGTGGAGGATTACGTTATTCAAAATTTGATGGCTCATACAAGAAACATACATACATTCATGCAGATTCTTTATTATTTAATTTCTTTTAATATCACAGGGTGATAATATTTGGTGGCAACAATTTCAAAAGTGAAATGGACATTTAAAGTTTTTGACACAAAATACAAAAACGAAATTAATAGCCCTTCTGGGCTAATGCCCTTTGGGCTAACAAGGATATTTCTCTTTGTAGACAATGATTACAATTTATATAAAAACCATAGTCATCCAAGAGTGATCCTTATATCCATTAAACTCTTTTCATTCTAACCCGTTAACTTTTCCAAATTACAAAGTCTGGGAAATGTTCCCTTTCTGAGTTTCTAAAAATTTTTATGCATATAAGCTTTGTTTCGTTTAGTAAATTAAAATTTTAACATTTTCCCTTTTTTTTGTAATGCTTATAACTTTTGTCATACCTGCTCTGCTACATTTTATCATTTGTCATCTAAACATACCCTTTTATACTTAATGGCATTTTCATAAACTGCCTCAATTATCAGTCTACAGTGTCATAAAATTTCCAATACTTGGTGATTCTAAATACATAACCACTGAATTATTAATAAAAAGTCTAAAACTGTTTACTTTACATGTAATTTTATCCGGTGTGCAAATACAATTTTGGTAAGTAATGGGTTAACATGCAAATGGGAAATGTAAAAACATTTATAATCTCTAAAATGTATTTGAATTTTTTTTTGCTGTTGAAACTTAGTTTTATATTTAATTTACTGTTTTATACATGTACTTATTAAATATGTTTATATGAACATAATTTACTAAATATCTGTTTGTTCTATATTTTTAGATGGACATCGTGTAGATGTTGTAAAGTATGTTAAAAAAGTTGTAGATGATGTCAAAGATAAAAGTGACAAACAGGTTATTTTGCTTTTCAATTAAAATTTTCATTTCTATTTCAGACAAAAATATATAAAAGAATCTTAAGTGTTACTTTTATTTGTGATTATCAATTTCAGCATATTTGTAAGATAATGCATCAGTGGGTTTTGGTTGCATATATATTTCATTACATTATTTTTTAGATAAATTTTAACAATGTCCTTAAAAAGAGTTTTAAATAATGTTATTTGAAAGTAACTGAGAAATGATAAATTATATTTCATTTTTATAGACTGAAAATACAAAGGAAGAAAATGAAGAGTTACTTGCAGAGGTAAATCTTTTATATACAAAATACTGTTTGTATTTTTCTTCAAAAGTTTATTCACTAGCTTTTTCCTTCTGTGATGTAAAAGAACATTTCAAGCTGAAATGAAAATTTTTTGTATTCGTATCTGTGTTTGTATCACAATTACTTTACTTGTTTCCTCAGATTTTAAAACTAAGTTTAATGAATATTGTAATTAAATGGCTGTCAACATATGATGTATTTTCATATTAATCACATTTAAAAGCATTAATTTAAATACTTCAGTATTTTATTATGAAAAGTAATGTGTTTTGCCCTAGTAATAACTACACTAATGAATTTATTTTACTGTAGACTGGAAGGATCTATGTTCGAAACCTTTGTTATAGTGTGACTGAAGCTGAATTAGAGGAGCTGTTTTCCAAATATGGTAATTTATTTTAAAAGTTGTAAATGAAGTATTTGTGTTGTTATGTTTGTTCTTAAATAATTTTTTTTCTGATTTATTTTATTTTTATGTGTATTTATTTTAATTTAAGGTCCATTAGCTGAAATTAATCATCCAGTTGATTTAATTACAAAACAAGGAATGGGTTTTGCATTTGTGTCGTATGTTTTTGCAGAACACGCAGTTAAAGCATTTTCTGCATTAGATGGTACAATATTTCAGGTTTTATGTCTATTGGTTTGGGTCAATGTAATACTCAAAATGTTTTTTAAATTATATATATTTTTTTTAATTATGTTTTTCTAGGGTCGAGTGCTCCATTTAATTCCTGCTAAACCCAAAAAAGAGTATTCTGATGATCAAAATGGTATGTAAAATTAGTTCTCTAAAATAAAAGTGTAGATGTGAAATATTTTTGTTAAAAACATTTTCAGTTTTTCCCTGACTATAAACATACATGTTTCCTTCTGCAATAAAAAATACAATTTCTTTTGCATTTTCTTAAAAACATAATAAATAAAGATTTGCTAATGTTAGTATTATCATTGTGTTTCAGAAGAAATGAAGTAGTTGCTTTCATAGACTTATGTAAAAGTAATATTATCCATCACCTCTTTAACAGCAAAGCTTTGAGATGCTAAATCTATAATTTTACATTTTTCAATAGTACTAAACTGGTTATCTACTCTGTTTTTCTTTATCTTTCATATTTAACTACATGCTTAAATTTAAATTTCATTGCTGTTATTCTACTTTTTTTCAGCTATTATTTCATTTTTGTATTTGGTTAAATGATCTTCATATTATTATTGTTTAGAACTTCATTAAGATTTTTAAAAAAGAAGACTTTTCTGTTAACGGGACTCCACTTAGTGATAAGCGCAATCATTGGCACAGAATTCTACTAGATGGCACCAACTCTTGTGATTTGTAAATCTTCATATAAATAAATGAACTTGTGATAGCTTTAATGTATCATGTAATAGAAAGTATGTAATGCATAATGTCTGCCATGCCCAAACTGCTGTTCTTCCCGTGTACACTGCGCACAAAAAAAAAAAAAAAAAAAAAAAAAAAAGGAGACAGTTCTATATCTCCCATTCTACCGGGCCGATTGACAAAATTCAAATTGCGTTTTCCGTGCCTCGAATGCGCGACTTAGGATATATAGGATTATTTTAACATAGGTACTTTGCCACAAAATCGGACTTTTTTTTAAAATGGTATACCAATTTTTTTCCATATTTCGATTCTACGACTCAAATTATGCCTAAATATTAAATTTTGTAAAATTTGGTGCGAACTTTACGGAGAAATTCCAAAATTTATCTTGCTGCATTGTTTCAGTTTGTACTGAGAGTAATTTACATGGCAAACTTCTTAACTTATAGCAAACTATAGTCCTTTCCTTTTTTTCATTGTAGGTGAGCAGAGAAAATGTTCATCATTCATACTTTTAAATAATTTTAGCAAAGTGCATAAACAACATTTGGCGTTAGCATTATTATCTCTCAAAAAAAAAAAAAAAAAAAAAAAGATGCCGAATTTCAAAATGTGCCAATATGTAAAATGAATGAAATTCATGTATATCTTAGAAAAATTTTAATAAAAAACTGTAATTTTTTGCAGGTATGCTTAAATACATTTACTTTAAGATGATTTTAAAAATATTGTAGATTATAATCCAAATTTTTTTCGAAAAATTTATAAAAATTTTTAAAATAAATCATAAAGGGTCGAATTATGTTTGGATTAAGCCTAAATTTCAAATTCTGGAAAATGGAGTCGAGTAAGTTTGCAGAGAAATTAGGTTATTTTGAAGCAGGAAAGATGAAAAATGAGCAATGCCCTCGACGGGACTCGAAACATGGACCTCTTAAATACACGTCGAGCTTGCTGACCACTACACTAAGAAGACAGGAGAAATACCTTATGTACTCCCCCCTTTTAAAGGATGACTGGGGTTTTTAGGAGACCCAGTCGCCATATCCTGGTGGTGAAGAATCATTACTCACCATCTTTGAGTTCGGGTGCCACTGTAGAGACATTAGGTTATTTTCAAGCAGGAAAAATGAAAAATGAGCAATGCCTTCGCTGGGACTGGAACCAAAGACCTCTCGAATACACGTCGAGCGTGCTGACAACTACACCACAAAGGCATGCTAAGAAGGCGAGAGAAATACCTTATAAGTTTAATTAAAAAAGATATTAATAAATATACAGTCAAAAGTCGTTAATCTGGACTCGTCGGGACTTCGGCGATTCCGGATTATCGATTTTTCCGGATTATAGATCATCAGTTTAAATCTGGTAAGGCATGCAAAATTATAAAATTAAAATATGAAACCAAGTTATGAAATAAGAACAATTATGGTCTAAAGGGTTCAGAATTTACAAAAGAAGCTTAATATTTATTTGTTTACTTTCTTTCTCGCTATCGGAAGCAAATTATAATGACGATGAATTTGATTTAAATCATATCAAAAACGGAATACATTGAGTGAAATACTACATTTAGTAAGGATTATAACCAAATAAAGTAAAAACATCTGCCCTGAAGATAAGGATAGTGGTGACAAGATCAACTTCCAATTCATTGCGCACTGCAGCATCCCCCCGCCGCAGAGCAGCGTGAAATTGATAAACAAACAAACAGATGGCCTTTATCATTTTGGCAGCAATTCTCACTTGTTGTGTATGATTGAACATACTTCGCTTGTAGATCCTTTACATATTATAATAATTCGGAAATCTATTTGACATAATCAAGTTCAGCTTACTTTATAAAATTGCTCTACCGGTCTGCAAAAAATAAGAGCGGATCCAATGTGAAACCAAGAAAACGCTCCTGCAACATTAACTGAATAGATAATTTTAGCTAGCTATACCATCCTTATACATTAAACGTGCATGCGTAAACGTATTTTGGGCATGCGCACATGCATATTCGCAGCCGTAAAGGTCTTACGCGCATGCATCAATGCGACGCATGCGCAGTAAGTTTGTAGCTTTGAGGTCCGGATTATAGATCATTCCGAATTATGGGTGTCCGAATTAACGACTTTTGACTGTATATCAATTCAATTAACACTGAGGAGCTAAAATTTTGAGAGCTAATTTTTTAAAAACTGCTCATGCAATTTTTACAAAACTTGGCAGTTTGGCATAATTTGAGTTATAGAATTGAAATATGGATAAATCGGACTTTTCTTTTTTAGCATGCGTATATTAGAACGATGCTGTATATAAATCTAATACATATCCTAAGTCACGCTTTCAAAACATGAAAAACGTAAGTTGAATTTCATCAATTTCACCCAGTAGAATGGGAGATATAGAACTGTCCCCCCTTTCTTTTTAATGCAGTGTACTTGGCAATCGCTGTTTTTGCATAGAGAATTGCACAAATTTGGCAACAAGTTCATTAAGCATTGCAAAGCTACTTCTAACACAATATAAACAGGCTACCTAATTTGGTAATTGCCACTCTATTAATAGAAAAGTACCAATAAAAGAAAGGGAGATAGAAAGAACAAGCAATAAAATAGAGAGCAAATGTGTAAAAACTTTTCATTTAGACATTAATTTAGCAAGTCATAAATGTTTTACAGTTTTTTTTTTTTTTTTTTTTTTTTTCATTTACAGTTAACTTTCTAAGTGTTGTGTTCTTATAATATGTTATTTTATCAGTATTTTGTATAGAATTATTTTGCATTCTGAATTATTAAGAGTAGGCTGTTACTTCAAATATCTTTTGCTCCTGGCTAACTGAAATTTGGTTAATATATATATATTAATTTGAGTAATATCTATTTTTTCAGAAACCAATTTTAAGAAAAAGAAGGAGTCTAAAATGAAAGAATTGAGTGGCAGGTAAGCAGAATTTTATTTATTTTTCGTCCAAAGGGGCTTTGTCCCTGAAGGACTATTGTTTTTGTTTTGTGATTTTGCAGTAAAAACTTTAAAAGGCTGTATCACTTTTAAAATCGTTGCCACCATATACTATTGGCCTGAATTATATTTGATGAAATTAAATAATGATGAATCTGCATAAATGTATGTACGTTTCTCACATTGTGATAAAACAACAGTACCTAGAGCCATCCAATTTTGAATGGCGTAATCCTACTGTAAATTAAATAATGATGAATCTGCATAAATGTATGTACGTTTCTCACATTGTGATAAAACAACAGTACCTAGAGCCATCCAATTTTGAATGGCGTAATCCTACTGTGAATATGGGAATGTGGAAACCCAAATTTGGAATTTGTTTTATTATCGATTTCATATTTTGTAAAACTTTAGCAAATTTTCATTAACAAACTTATGAGTTAAAAGCAAGCAATGGCAACACTGTATGAGGAAAAAAAACCTTTTTATCTCCAGCGAGCAGAATTGTGTATTGGAAATTCTAAAGATCTGCTCATTTTAAAATTATTTTGCGACATTGGTATTGAACTGAATTTCATGGTTTAAGTGCGAAGAACATGATATTTAATAAATAAAGGTAACACGCAAAACGTTAAAAAAATGCCCCTTTGGACGTAATTTAAAATCTAAAATCCCTTTCATATTTTTTTTTTTTCCCTTTATTATCAAGCATACATATCTTCACACTTACACCATATACAGTTCAACAGCAAAATTACAAAAATTTTAAATGCAGCATAACAGTATATGTTTAGAATTCTCATTGTAGCATTAAGTTTTGGCATACATCTTTCTGTTTTCTTACTAAGATAGCCTTACAAAACTTCTTTTTGTCTTTTTATTATTAACGTTTTGTGTGTTTAGTTTATTTATTAAATATCATGTTGTTGGTGCTTATGCCACGTAAAATTCGATTCAACAGCAAATCACAAGATATTTAAAAACAACATATCTTTAGATTTTCCAATAGATGGACTTGCACTTTGGAGATAAAAATGCTTCTTTTCTTTAAGTGTTGCCATTGTTGTTAATGAGAAAATGCACCAATGCAGAAATTAATTGCAAAGTCTTTAAATACATCTGTAGAAGTAATAAATAAAATAATAAAGTAAGATTTACAACTTAAAAAGCATAATGTTCACCAGCTTTTGCCCAGGCATGTGTCTTAATGCAGATGAATTTGTAGAACTGTTTGAAAACTATTTAGCAGTAGATAAATGGAAATACATTGTAACCCTTGATGAAGCATGGATGTAGTTCACTAAAAGTACTAATGTTTTCCCCTTTAAGTGGCAAGGCAAAATTAAAAATATCTAGAACAACACATGTCAGTAATACAATACAATCAATAGGTGATCAAAATCATTGCCTCAGAAGTTTTCTAGGCAGTCAGTAAGTAAAAGAACATTCTAGAGTCATCAAGAAGTGCTACACAACTATGCATATAAGCTGTTTTCTGAGGTTCTATTATGTTACAAAGAATCGTAAATATCAATATGATGAGGTGTTCTCCTGACCAGTCATGACTTTGCAATAGTCAGAATCCCTTTCATTTAATAAAATCAAAAATATTGCAATGCCCTAGAATCTACTGCAGTACAATTTGTCTGTTTTCTAGTCCCAAAGGCCAAAGAAATTTACATCTCATTTAGTGGTACTGCATTTTTTAATTGGAAGGCTGTTTATGTTTCAGTTAAAGAGGATAGATAGACGGAAACACTTTTGAAATTGTACTAGAAGTCTTGATTGATTATTAGACTACTCAGTAATAGGATTTAAAATTTTTTTTAATTGGTTGCTGCATAAATAAGTAATAAAATCAGCTATTGAATACAATAAATTCCATAAATAAATATTACAGATCAATTTTAACAATCAGTTTATTGATCCAAAAGTTATTTAAGAAACACTTCTGCTAAATTAGCTGAACTCAACCACTGGGCTTAATGTCTCTACATGCTAGATCAGGAGAAATGAATAATAATAGATTACATTCTATTTCTGTCTAGTTCAGATTTTGTTTTTTGTGAAGTATAATAAATTGTAAATTTGCAAGGCTAATGTAAAATGAAAAGAGAGCTGGGTTTGTGTATATGTTATTTAATTTCTCTTTTTCCCTTTCTTTTCCAGTTCACATAATTGGAATATTCTTTTCCTTGGGATGAATGCTGTTGCAGATGTTATTTCTAAGAAGTACAATATCGATAAATCAGAACTGCTGAGTGCTGTATGTCCATTTTTTTAAAAATTTATTAATATTGTTGACATTAAAATAGGTATGTGCTTGTAAAATGTTACTTTTGTGATAATTTCAGATTAAAAATTGTTTATCTTTTTATTACTACCCATACAGTCATTTAAACCATTAGAAATCTAATTACGTATAAATGAAGTCATACTGTGTTGTTGCTATCAAGCCTGTGAATGAAATTGAGGGACTTAGTTTTTCTTTTCATTACCCAGACTGCTTATCAGTCTCCAAATTAATTTTTAACTTATCTGAATTAAGATCATCTGTATCAAATGTAGTTTTACAAGAAATGATCGCCAAATGTCAAGGGGAAAGGAAAGCTAACATTGTCATCTCTTAAAAAACTGAAAATCATGCAAATTCCATTATTTTATTTTTTATTTTACTTATTTATTTTTTGAGCAAATTATAGTATTATTTTTGTGGTTAATTTCATTTCAATGTAATCTATTTTAATCCAATATAGAGATTTCTAAAGCATTTTATGGCTATGGAATAAAGACTGATAGGTAAATTTTAGTGCATAATTTTGCTTTAAATGGTATAGTTCTAAGTTTATTTGCTTGATTAATTTTTAATTTTGTTGTTATCATGTTTAAAAACTCTTTTATGAATATGTTTTTTTTCTTTCATAAATTTTTATTAGATTAAAACTTTTCAGAAATTACAAAGTCAAATTAAATTAGCCCTGAAAAAACATAAAATGATGTTGAAATTTAGATTAATAAATAATTCCGGATTTTTTGTATTTCAAGACTAGCTGCTATGCCTCATATAAATATTTTTAAAACTGCCATATATGAAAGTATTAACTTCTTCCTCAGAATGCTCTAATTTTTTATTTATTATTATTATTTTTTGTTTGTTTGTTTGTTTGTTTCACAAAACTAAGAAAGTTTTCAAGTACAGGTACATATTGCAGTTCAGAAATGATTTCTTTCTTCTTAGAAGTCTGGAGTCTTTTCTATTCTATTGATCCAACTAATCGGTTTTAATACAATGTCTTTAATTTGTTTTGCATTTCTGATGATTGAAACAGGAAAACTAATTTGATTGGCTTTAATTATCAATTCTTTTTGTTGCTTTACTACAGGAATCTCATAAAGGATCTGGGGATTCTGTTGCAGTACGCATGGCTCTTGCAGAAACTCAAGCTGTGTTAGAATCAAGGAAATTTCTTATAGACAATGGTGTGGAGTTAGATGCATTAAGTCAACCAGCTGCTGAGCGTAGTAAGACAGTTATTGTAGTTAAAGACCTCCCAGCAAAAACACAATCACAAGAGATACATGAACTGTTTTCTAAATTTGGTACAGTAGCAAAAGTTGTTGTTCCTCCTTCTGGTTTAATGGCTCTTGTAGAATTTGTTGAGCCATCAGAAGCAAGAACAGCCTTCAAGAAGTTGGCCTATACTCGAGTAAGAAGCATTAATAATTAAAAGTTACATCAGTATTATTAAAATTATATAAATTTATTTGGCTTCTTTTGAATATGAACAAAATTGCATTCATAGTTTATAAGAAATGGCTTTACAAATATGTTTGCAACATGGTAAAATATGCTTGTCATCTTGCAAGATACTATATTGACGGTGTATCAAAATGATGATAATTTTTTAAGGTAACAAAATTGATACTTCTATTTAAGTAGAAAAATCAGAAACACATCTGTTCCTTCCATACATTTTGCCATTTGTAAGATATGTAAAGTCATGTTCATTTTCAGATGGTTTTGTTCTTCAGAGGACTGCTATTTTGATGCTTGGACAAATTGGGGAGGAGTATTATCCATGGCCTTATGATTTCTTTTGTTTTTACATTCAGCAATAATATTTCTTTCAATCATTATTATTCAACTCTCAGCAGCCTCTGTAAACTTAGGTACCTTGATTCAAAATAATCATGAACTGATAAGTCTGAAAGTATCTGATTAAAAGAAAAAAATTGTTTATTCTTGGATATAATGCAGTTTTTCTAAAATCTGCATTGTTTGTATTTTAATTCTCACAGAATTATTTTATTGCATCTAAATACTTGCTGGTGTAGTACTTGAAATGTCTACCATCTTGTTGCAACCAAAGTAACTTTTCTGAAGGGATATGTTTCAAGTTCTAATGGTAAGAATGTATTCATCGTATTTCACACTTGTGCAGTGTTAATTGAGGTCATTTAGCATTTCTCATCTTTGAAAAAAGTAAGGATTTGTTATTTTCATTTAACAGACCATTTACATAATTGTAATGTTTTGATTGTCTTTGATATTGAAATCGTTGTCACTTGTTAGATCAAACGTTCAAAATACAGATATGTCTCTGCTTTTTTCACAAATGGCAATTTGAAGGAATGCAGTGATGTATTTGGGATTCCCCCCCCCCGACTAAAGTGCCTTAATTTTGTTGCATTAAAAAGTATTCATTATTTTGTGATTTATTTTGTACATAAAAAGCAAACCATAGTGGCAACAATGCACTTATTGCTAGTTGGAGACTTCGTGAGTGTAAAATTACTTAAAGCTATTTTTGTGATTCAACAAAATATTGTGTTAATGAAAATATTGCCACACTTCAAAAGTTGACAAATTTGTCATTTTGTAGCTGCATTCTTAAATATAGCATGTTCATAAAATAAGTAAACCTGCACTAAATTAATATATTTGCATTATATATAGAAATAAAATTACTTTTCATTATCAATGGATATTTAAAAAAAATCACTTGATAATAAAGGAGATAGATTGACAACATGTACTTTACCTGATCTCTACTCCAACTTTCATTGTGGATTGCCCAGCACTTTTCTCCATTAACCCCTTCGTTCCTGGTAGTGGAAACGCGTGCTTATCGCGGAGGCCGGCAGTGTCTTAGGCGAGCGTCTGTCCAGGGCCGGGGGCCTTTTTGCTATTAAGCCTAAATCCATGAAATTTCCGAAGTATCAACGCATTGTTTAATAATGCTCTATAGAGTATTTAAATGGCTTTATAGATATTTTTATATATACTTTAATTACCTTATTTCTTGTTTAAATGCATATATTACATATTTTATTTTCATTACTCACCATTTCATGACTTTTAACATTATACATCTGAAAACTATATATATTACTTAAAATTCTCTTTTCATATGAAAAATTTGAAAACAGGGATCTACACACAGTCCTACGTTACATTCCTTGCACTCGTAATAACTCATTTGCCATTTTGGAGGATTTTTCCGGGAATGTGAACAAATGAAGCATCGTCGTCTCATTTTCTTATCAGTCTCTTCTGAACAAAGTTTTGGGAAATTTCTTTCAGTTAATCTTTCAGAAACAATATCAGAATTTCAGAATCAATATCTGAAATATTTTGCATCATTTCTGCTATTTCATGCTCTGTTAAACATTTTCGATGCTTCGACATTGCAACGGTAAAACAGAAAGAATTCACGTCTAACAAGATCTAATTATTTTCTAAAAACTGAACTGCAAACCAAAATACCCAATGCTTTAACGAAAATAAAACTTCTCTACTTACAATAAGCAACTACCACGTGCGAATTTAAAGGGACGTCAAAAATCATGCCATTTGGAAACATTTATTTCCCCTTTTGTTTATAGAATCAAAAACACGTGTATGGGAGTCATGCTTCTCTCATTTCGAGTAGAAGGTCTAATGTACATGTATCTGAAACCATATGGACATACAGTGCCATCTTGTGGCAGAAATTATAGTTTTTAAAACGTTCCAGGACACTGGCACAAATACGTGACAGTCGGGGCTGAATGGGAAAACGCCTGCATGTCGGCCGGAAAGGGAGTGTGTTCGTTGCTGGCACGTAGAAGTGACAGCAACGAACATGAAGTCGGCACGAAGTTGTTAAACAGCTGAGAATTTTTCAGTATTTCTTCTAATATAGTAAAATTGTTAAAAGATTCTAGGAAGCACAGAGTAGTAAGTAAATTTTCATACGTAACATAAAGAAGCTTTATCACTATAGCTGAGTCAATTAATCGGATCTGCTATCCTAAAAAGTAGTAAACTATGATTTAGGAGGTAGCAGAGGAGAACAAGTCCATTGTTGAAAAAATTCTGCAGGAAACATTTTTCTGTGTTAAATTTTTCTTGAAAATTCTTAAGCACCTTTTATAATTTTATAGTGTAAGTTATCTTCAAATTCATCCTTTTTTGCTTTTATTTTTTAATTTTTTTTAGTTTTATTATATTTTTTTATATCTAATTGTACAACATCTAAATAAATGCTTATAATCGCTCTTTTTTTACTCTACATACTTAAGCAAATGTAAATAAGTTTATGTCAAGTTTCCCCATCCTCATTTCAGTTAATTTTCTTAAAATCAGATTCAAACTCACAATTTATAATGGCTTTTTAATTTATTTATTAATTATTATTATTATTTCCAATTTTGGTTGAACAAAACATGTTCTAATATTTAATTTCTTTAATGATGCTTTTAAATAATATTCCAAAAGAAATTTTTAGTGTTCATAAATTAAGGCATTAAAATTTACTGATAAATGTTACAACCCATTGCCTTGGACAGTATAATGATTAATGGAGGCTGGATTCCAGATTTTAGATGTGAGTTAATATCTCGCATATGGCTTTAATGTTTGTGTGTTTTTTCCCTCTACTGGTTTACCTCTGGGGTGTGTCCTGAGCAGCATTCTTATTAATGAGACGGCTCAAAGATTGATGGATTTAGCCATTCCTGACGTGGCTTCAGAGCAAGTATTTGGCCATTTGAACAATGTTGCAAAACTGCATGACAGCTGATAGTATTTTTTATTTTTAAGTATATTTTTTTCATGTTATTTTAAGTGTTCTGTCTTATTTTGTATGTGATTTATTTCATAATTTCCTTTATTGGTTTTTAAGAATAAAAATCTTGAGCGCTTATATTATTTCCTTAGTGTATAAAAATGTCTATGCTTATCCTTCACTTATTTGAATGTGTTTATTTTGTTTTATTTGGATGTGATTTACTGGTCCACGTGCTATAAAAATTAATTACTGTGTTATATTTTACAGTTTCATACCACACCTCTGTTTTTAGAATGGGCTCCTATCAATGCCATGAAAGAACGAACCCCAGATACAGCTAAGAATCAATCAAATGAGGTATGATTAGCATGTGAACATTAATTTAATTTCTTGATCTTGTTGTATCAATGCAAAGTCCAAGATCTGGACTTGTCAGAACTTTGGTAAGTCCAAATTTGGGATTTTTCATGATATTAGATCATCAAGTTAATCTAGTAAGATGACATGTAAAACTATAAATTTAAAAATATGAAATAATGAAGCATTTATGACTTTAAGGGAATCAAAATTTACTAAAAAACTCAATATTTGTTTGCCTTATTAGACATTTCCTTCAATATAAGTTGTTTAAGTTGCTTCATTTTTTGTACCAATACTGTTACGGATTTGGTATTTAAATAGCTTATGTTAGTTGAATTGTAAATTAAATGGTTTTATTTCCCGCGCAGTGCAGCGCGTGATGAATATTAAAAGAAAGCTAAGCTGGAAAATTGAAAATACAAAAGCGTGTGCATGTAACATTTAATAAATATCTCTTTTTGATTTCGAGAAAGTACTAGAAAATTCTCGCGCATGATTTTAAAATCTTATAAAAAGGAGGAAAACCTCTCAATTCAGTCAGTCAGTTATTTTAGTTAGCTTGTTGTTTTAAGAGTTTGTTTAGAAAACTGCTCTTGTTGATTGTAGCGAATTCACAGATTAGCTTTCTTTAGCTCTTTTGAATTAAGTTCTCTTGAACGTTTAAGTAGTTAAAAGATAACTACTGTGAGATATTGTAATATTGCACGAATATCTGAGAAAATTGAAGTATTGTGTTTTATTTATTTGTGATAATAATAAATCTTATTCATTTTTCATCGGACTTGTGCATTCAATTCCAAACAAACCCGTACCCACGCAACAATTTTTGAAAACTTTCTTGTCAATTTGTTGTTTAACGAAACAAACTCTTCCTTCTATTTCTTCTTTGACCGAATCATCTCTTTAACCTATTTGTTGTTCCACAGCCGAAACTCTGTCTTCTATTTGCTCTTTCACAGAAGAAACTATAATCGATTTGTTGTTCTATGGCCAAAACTCTCTGTTCTATTTGTTGTTTGACAGAAGAAACGTTTTCTTCAATTTGCCCAACTTTGTTTTCAACTGCGTCCCATTCTGCCTTCCATAGCCTCAAATTTATTTTCTATTATGCAGATAATTTCCCTTTTCATCTCTTCCTGTCCTGCTTCAATCTTCTCTTGACCTGCTTCAATCTTTTCTTTGACTGCATCTTGACCCAATTTCATTTCTTCCTTAACGGATTCCTGGCCCAATTTCATTTCTTCCTTAACGCAGTTGATGGCCCCTTCCATCTTTTCTTGGAAAGCAGCAAATGCAGCCATCATTTGCCTGAATTGTTCTTCCATCGCTCTTGTAATTGGCATTCAAAACCCCATTCCTGACACCAAAAATTGTTGCGTGCGTACGGGTTCATTTGGAATTGAATTCACAAGTCCGATGAAAAATGAATAAGATTTATTATTATCACAAATAAATAAAACACAATACTTCAATTTTCTCAGATATTCGTGCAATATTACAATATCTCACAGTAGTTATCTTTTAACTACTCAAACATTCAAGAGAACTTAATTCAAAAGAGCTAAAGAAAGCTAATCTGTGAATTTGCTACAATCAACAAGAGCAGTTTTCTAAACAAACTCTTAAAACAACAGCAAGCTAACTAAAATAACTGACTGACTGAATTGAGAGGTTTTCCTCCTTTTTATAAGATTTTAAAATCGCGCACGAGAATTTTCTAGTACTTTCTCTCGAAATCAAAAAGAGATATTTATTAAATGTTACATGCACGCGCTCTTGTATTTTCAATTTTCTGGCTTAGCTTTCTTTTAATATTCATCACATGCTGCACTGCGTGGGAAATAAAACCATTTAATTTACAATTCAACTAACATAAGCTATTTAAATACCAAATCCGTAACAATACTTTCTCTCTAATTATGTAGACAGAAATAATTTCTTGTTCAGTTACATAGCCTGTTATTCAAATCCTATAATTTCCATACTGAGAATTCCTATTAAATTGGCAATCTAAATTTTTTTTTGTGCTTAGCTACCACTGTCACTTTTTTAATGATCGGTAGTGGTATTTTCTGGATTTAGAGCCATACTACAGATTTCGTCCTCTGTTAGTTGATTGATGATCAGGGCATTGTCATCACTCTGTTATAGCAACATCCATTTTTTACCACTTCTCCACATTTCTTCACAAATTCCAATTAACTAGGCAATTTTGCTTTTTGTTTGCAATATCTGAAAATCTTCAAATTCACAGCTACATTGTAAAGCTTAGCTAGCATCTGCTATACACTATGTCATGAGATTGTGGACTAAAGACATGTTCTTCCGCTAATTTTTTTTTTTTTTTTTTTTTTTTTTTTTCTTTTTTGCTTCTTATGACTTGCTTGTTACCTTGCTTTTGTTTTGTTTCTATGGCTTGCTTGTTATCTTAATTTTGTCGTGCTTCTATTTTAAAATGTTTCAACAGCAAGACATAACATTGTCATTGAAAATATTGATGTTGTAGCTTCCTTTTGCTTTATCAGTGTGATATTGCTACATGAAAACTTTGCATTTTATTCCATTTTGCATAAATTTCATGAGTAGGATCATTCTTTCTCTTTCCTCTTCCTTCAAAGGTATTTCCTTCACAACTGCCTTTTATTGCTACTTCTGAAATTATTGAATTTTTCATGGTCCTCTAGTAACTCCTCCACATCTTTATTGTTAATTTTCAAAGTCATGGTTTTCCCTAGAGATGCAATATCATAAATTAAAAAAAAAAATTTTAAGTATCAAATTCCTCAAAAAATGTGCCATGATTTCCCTCCTATTCAAATTAATGGTCTTGTAGTCACTTATTGCCAAGCTTTATTAATAAGAATTAAGTAATGGAAACTGTTAACAGCATGTTTCCAGAAGTCCTTGAGTCTTAATTCTGTGGCACAGAGTAGCTGAAATTACCTTTGAAAACCATTTGTTCATAACTCAATATTATCGAAAGTATTTATTCAACCATTCATTACCCAAGCCATTTTTTATCAGATAATTTCTTCATCAAACAAATCGTGTGGTACTTTCTTATTATTCATACCTCTTGACAAAACTGGTGAAAAAGTATTGAAGAGACAGTGAAATGTTTATGTGGCAACTAATGATATCACCAAAAACTATTTATGTGGCAACTTAGGGTATGCATGTAGCAGCCCCCCCAGATGGTAACTTCTCTGCATATTTTTAACAATGTGACAGAAGATTACCCTCCTGTAGGCATTTTAGCATAGTGGTAAACTGCATATTTCAGGTTTCATTGTCTTCAACAGAATCTAGAATTTGGCTTTCTACATGCATAGAGCATAAATTGGCTCACTTAAAGGCATCATGGCATTTTTCTTTCTCATTTTAGTATTTCAGTGTCAGGGTTGTTTGTGATGCCAGGCTTGGGCAGTTCTCTGATTTTTTTTTTTTTTTTTTTTTTTTTCTTTTTTTAATCAAAAACAGATTACTGTTTACCTAGGAAGGACAATAGCTCAACTGAGAAATGTAATTGTTTTGTGTGGAAAAAAAAGAATATAAAAAACTTTGTGGCACTTGATGCATCATTGAAACCGATGTAAAGATACCGAAATAAATATTTCTTTCTTAAATTTGCAAATGCTCTCCAAAGTTGTCAAGGAGTTTACAAGTTTTTGGTGAGGATGCGGATAATCAGAAAATACTCAACTTGTTAACTTCATCAGAAACTTCAGGATCCAGTGTTCTGCTGAAATTGCAAATAATTTATTTTACAGCTTAGTTTCTCTGAACGTTAACTCAGTCTGAGAAAATTTATTCTTTGATGAGACAGATATGGTTTGAGCTTTTTTGCAGCATGTCTCATGTCAAATCTTTAATTATTGAAAAATTTATAGTCCATACTAAAATACTTCATTATTATGCTAAATAGGGGAGGGTTTTTTTTTTCTGAAAAATAATTTAATAGAAGGTAATTTGAGGTGCTACTAAAAAAGAATTTATAGAAAGATGATGAGAAAACTATCGTTGTCTACTTATGGGAGATGGTTTGCTAGTGTGTGTAAATTCTTTTATACAACCTACAAAAAAATTGCATCCATATTTAAATAAGAATGAATTAGGATTTTTCAGAAGTCTCTTGAAAAAACTCTCATACTGTTACAAATTAGAACTGTTTTTATTTAGTTCTTTCATTATTAATTTATAAATGTCTCAAAAAGAGAATGAAAAATTCCAAAAAATTTTTTTATGTTATTATTGCTGAATCATTTAAAAAAAATAAACTTCATATTGGAGTGGTATTTTATTTTATTCATAATGTATTATAAAAGACTGCATTAAATACAAAGAAAGCATCTTAATCACAAAATTTTATACTGATGCTTCCATGAAACATACATTTACGTTATTAAAAAATTAAAAATATTTTAATTTGTGATACTATTATAGATTGTTTATAACTCAAATCTTTTAAAAATTTTTCTTACAGTTCTGAAATACACAAAATATATTCTTATTGCCATAAAATTTTCCAGTACTTGTAGTAGCATCTGATTAAAAGCATGTTCTTATATTTAATAAAACAATTAAGCCAGAATAAATTTACCAGTGGCAATAGTTTTTTGTTTACATTTAAACTTGGTGACTTGTTGGCAGAGTTAAAAAAAACATTGATTGCAGGAGTTAGCCAGTTATACCAAAATATAAGAATTAGCCCTGATGTATTCAAAATTAAAATTATCACTTCTTTGAGCAAGAGATCTGGTTTCATCACTTATGTTTTTCTTTTCTTTTTAACTGCATGTATTTAATGATTTTCCCTCCCCAGACTGAGGTCAAAGAAGAAGAAACTAAGGAAACTGCTCAGAATCCAAATGATGAGAATGCTGAGTCAGATGATGAACCTGCACCTAATACTACTATATTTGTAAAAAATTTAAATTTCAGTACAACAGTGGAAAGTTTAAAAAAGGTAACAAGCATAAAAGTTAAATTTAATTATTTGTCAGCTTTTAAAAAAGGATGTTTTAATAACTCTTAGGATAAATTGTTATATGTTTATGCTTATCATGTGAAATTTCTTATTTTAATAAGAAAATCCAAAACCATTCTAGAATTGTAAAAAAAAAATAATGTATAGTGACTGAATGCAAAAATCATACAAATATTTTTATGTATATAAATTATACAGTTATTTTAATACTACCATGTACTCTTGATATCTGGTTTGTAGGTTATCCATACTTGGCACTATCATTCATGAGTGGGAGTTACACACTTAACACTATATGCAACAGTGTGTAAATAATATACATGGGCAAATCCAAGCTTGCTTTCTATTATAGAAATTGGAGATTTATATAATTATGAAGAAATCGAAGCAATAACCAAATGTTGTATGGCAAAAAATTGACAATGTAAAGTTCTTCAAAATTGTCATTCAGAAAAACATCGAGGAATGGTTCGAATGTGATTTGACTGAGCCGGGCTCTCAGTGCTTGAGTGATGTGGATATTGTTTCAGATGTCAAACGTTTCACTATAAATGAAGAAAATACTAACAATTGCATTAGTCGCCAGACAGTAATGACTTCTGTTAAAACTCTATTGAGTTTCGTTCACTAAAGGGAATTTGAAAGCAATGGCTAAACTGTACTTCAAAAAATATGCATTGAAATTCAACAAATATGTAAATGTTTTCAATGATACACTAAAATTATGGTAAAATAAACACATACAGTATGCATGAAAATTAATAGTTTGGATTATCTGTGATCTCCTTGCCTGGTATTAGACCAGATAATTGAGAGTACACTATATATATAATTTATTTTCTAATAGATTATTGAATATGTTATTGCCTTTGATAATAAAATAGTCATGTAAGAATTCTATTGAAATGAATTTACTCATTAGCATATGTATAATTGAAAAAGTAAAAGTGCAACCAAAAACTAAATAATTATCATCATTGACTGGAAATTAGTTGACTTTTTGAAGGGGGGAAAAAATGAATTTCCAATCAATTAACAATAATTAATAGGTGCAAAAGTGTTTTGCCTATTTCCAAAGTAAGAATCAAAATTAAAAAAGCTGTATAGTAAGACTGAGTTTAAATTATTCAAATTGCTAATTAAGAAGCAGTAAGAAATTGGTGGTTCTGTCTAACTTGAAATGCAATCTTCTAATTGGAACGTATAATTATTACAAGAGCGAGTTTTATTTTCTTGAGAAAAATTGCTCTCTAACACTTTCGCCTTTTGATCATATTAAAACAATGCAAACTTTGTTAAAACAATTAAACAATGAAGACAAGTGTACAAAAATATGTTCTCATAAGATTAAAATGAAATATTAAGATGTATGAAATAAAGAAAATTTACATAATATACATTAATGGCCAGAAATGAATTTAAATAATTTACATGTTTGTTACCTGTGAAACATAGACAATATGTCTGTACTTTCTTTGTACTCAGAATGGAATTTGGAATTTGGAATTCAAACCGGGATGTAGAGTGGAGGCAAAAAGAGAGAGAAAGCGTAGGCGGGGATGTGTTGGGTGCTGTTTTTGGAAGGCAGGAAAAAGAAGTAGCGCATGGTTAATCTGAAAGCTAATATATATATGTATAATATTAATTTTCTTGTTAATGTATTTCTAAGGTTATTGAAGAAATACAAATATATATATTTTTAAATCACTCTAATTCTGATTTGAGCATGTGAAAATGTTAAATACTGGTATGCAGGCCTTGATGAAAAAAAAAGGATAATATGCTATTTAAAATTTAAAGTATCAATGGATTCAAAATAATGGCTATGAAGTGGTAATTTTAATCATAAACATTAAGAAATGCCACACAGTGTCATATAAAAGAATATGAAGCTTGCAGAGCCATATCTATTAAAGTTTAAGCCAAAAATTTATTAATAGAAAGTATACTGGGATCAGATACATTATCATGTTACGAAATCTTAGAGTTACTTTCACATTTCAGGTTGTTTTATGTGATTTGCTCCATGCGAATGCTGAAAAATACTCAAATTGCAACACTTTGCCTACTTAGTAGAAATTTATGGTGAACAACACCATGACAGTCAAAGAAAATAGTTAATGTTATCTTCATTTTTAACAGACTTTGATATAGTCTTTTTTCATCTTTCATATGCCATTCACTTGATTGTTAAGCTACCCTGGTTTCTAAAAATTAAGTAAAAATTACAAAAATAGTGATAACTCATTCAAAATAAGCCCATCCGTATAAAATTTGAATATGCTATCAAATAAGAATTGCTGAGTAAAACTTCAGTATGCAAATTAGTGGTGCTGCAGTTGAAATACATCATCTGCAAGGAGCATGAAATTGCATATTTCAGAGCAAGCATGCAAATTTTGCTGTGGTACTGAGAGAAGAAATTTGGGATAACTAGTTTGTAACAGTGACCTCCGGCTATCATTTTGCTCAAAAAACTGCGATGGTGAGCTATTGGGAGACTAGAGGAAGAAATGATCAATTTATCTACTGACAGACCCAGTTTAGACCCAATTTATCCACTGAATACTAAATGCATGTCATATCTTGTGCAGAAAGTCAAATCATTTACTCTGAATGCTATTACCATAATAAATTTAGTTAAAGAGTTGGCTGCAGCAAAATTTACTTTGTCAGGTCAAGGGCAGTGACGTGGGATGAAGTTTTTTAATTTTTGTATCTTGTGCTAAATTGTAAGTAATATGCTTTTTGTGTTGTGTAATATGCAGTTTATGCAGCTGAGTCCCCACCCTCCTGTATGGAGTACACTCAACTGATGGAATCCTAATTAAGTATTACTGATAGTACTCATTAAATGTTGGCAGTTTTATGGTTGGATTGTCATTTAAAATACAATTGGAATTTTCAGTTGTTTTTTTTAAATATCTCTAATTTATCTGTAAAATTGTATTTTTAACTAATGGATTAATATTCATTTTTTGTGCAGCATTTTCAACAGTGTGGCCCTATTCATTCTGCTACTATATCAACAAAGAAAGATGTTAAAACTGGTAATAATATTTTTTTTCTATATCTGTAATAAAAACTAGCTCTAAAAATTGATTTAATTTCTTTACAATTTAGATATTTTTCCTTCTTTTAAACATTTGTATTCATCCTTCCTTTGCTTGTAATTATATCTCAAAACATTGAATATAGCGAATAGTTTATTTCTCTGTAAAAGTAGCTAATAACATCATTACAAATAAGTGGGAAGAATAAGCATCATAGTTATAATTTTCCCTTTATTATTAAGTTGCTTTCTTGTTGAAGTGTTTTTCCCCACTTGAGGAGGCTTGGAAAAAAAGAGGCTTGGGAAAAAAAAACTAATATTGATTACATTATTTGTGAATTATCATATTGTCATTATTAAATTCTTCTGAGACTAAAAGTATCATCCACACTACAAAACTGTTTGGAAAATGAATTGTCTGTCATTACTACCAAAACATCGAAAAGGCACTGTCGTGAGATATCAGTGTTGTGAAAAGAAAGATTTAATTCCTTTTCTGATAACTATTTGGTTTATTTACTTTTGATATCAAGAACTTATGTTAGTAGAATTCTGCCAACTGAAACTATAAATGAATCATTATAGAACTGTTACTTTGAATTCTTGAATTACATGTGTTCTTACTTGTGAATATCAGTATTTGTCTCTTTCTTTTCTTTCTTTTTTTCTTTTTCTTTTTTTTAATATTTATATTGTATTTAATGTAATAACCTTTCTTTTCATGAAGCTATGTACATCATTAGTATATTAGGTTTGCCTAGGTCATTAGATCTAGTTATTTCACACTTTCATTTATGTTTGGTGCCAAGTGGTACTCTTAGTCAAAAAGCACCCATTTTCTTTGTTAATTTTTGAGCAGTGCAGTTGTAATCAAAAAGCACACTTTTTCTTTCTTAGCATTTTGAGCAGCGCAGTTGCTTTTATGTGTTTTTTAGATTTGTTGTCTCTTGGTTTATATTACATTTTTATTTAATAAAACATATCTTTTAATTTTCTTTAATGGTCTAAATATCATTATAGTGAATGGAAAGTTATAAAACAAAGAGTAAAAAAAAAAAAAAAATCTGAAAAAAAAAAATTTCTTTTCCCATACAGTGTTGCCATTGCTCACATTTTAAATTGTTGAATTTGATAATCAAAAAGTCGTTAAAGTTTTATAAAATATGAAATAGATAATAAAACAAATTCCAGATTTTACATTTTGGCTTCCAGATGCCCATATTCAAGTAGAGGACTAGTATGTTATTCAAGTCTCTAGTTACCGTTGTTTTTTCTTAGTGTGAGAAACATATGTACATTCATGCAGATTCTTGATTATTTAATTTCTTTAATTCTGGGCTGTAATATTTGATGGCAACTATTTGAAAAGTGAAGATGCATTTATATTGAAACAATACAAAATGGCAAAATGAAATTAATAGTTCTTCTGGACAAATTGCCCTTTGGGTTAGTAAGTGATTGTGAAAAATCCAGCTAATAAATACTGTATAAATAGAGCCATTCTTAAACAGATACAAAATGTCTTACCACCCAGAAAGTTAACTTCTGTATGCCATAGAACTGAAGCGTGAAAGTAGCTAAAGTAACTAAAGTCATCTGATGCTCATTGGCAATTTATCATTAAATGCAAATCATCTGTGTGCTAGTTAACATGCTGTACATAACTGTAATTGTAATGTTACTTATAGCTTAATCATAAACATTTGATTTTTTACTTCTGAATTTCTATATTTACTCAAAAATAGATAATAAAAAAAAGGTCCCCCCCCCCAAAGCTGGTGTATTTTCCCTTAAAATGGGTTTCATTTAAAAACAGAAAAATCTACTATGGAAATCTCTCAAAAAGTGAGGCTATCGTTTTTACAAAACACTTCATGTCAGTGATAAAAATGCATACTAAGTAAGTAAAGAACAATATTCAAAATACAGTTTATATTTTCTGTATTAAAATGTAGATTTATACAATTTAGACAAATTATTAAAATTTCTTATTTGTAGAATGGTAAGAAAAAGTAATCAAAAGACAATCAAACACAATAAATAATATCTAACAATTCAGTTTTCAAAAACTATTAATGTCAGTTTTAGAAAAGTAAAACAAAGTCTTGTATTTCTACATAAGAGAAAATAAAATTTAAAAAATAATAATAGCATGCATACTTTTATTTCTTGCCACGTGTTTTAATTGCAATTACTGTGCTACCATTAAGCATACAAAAGAGTAAATTAAAAAGTATTACTTTCAATGCAATATATATTTATTGTATGCTTGGAATTTTGTTTTTAAATCTTGGAGTCTTTTATGTTGATGTCTTTATGAATATTTAAGTTTGAACCACATTGATTTCTTTTTATTCCTTCAGCTGGAGTGAGAATGTTTGTTATACAGTCAAAAGTCGTTAATCCGGACTCGTCGGGACTTCGGCGGTTCCAGATTATCGATTTTTCCGGATTATAGATCATCAGTTTAAATCGCGTAAGATGGCATGCAGAAATTCTAAAATTAAAAATATGAAACCGTAATTTATGAAATAAAGAACAATTATGATCTAAAGGGTATCAAAATTTACAAAAAAAAAAAGCTTAATATTTATTTGTTTACTTTATTAAACATTTCTTTCAATGTAAGTTGTTTAAGTTGCTTCGTTTTATGTGATAATACTTTCTCTTTAATTCTATAAACAGACATAATTTCTTGTTCACTTACAAAGTTCCGCTGTTCAAGTCCCGTTAATTGCTGTGCCGAGAATACCGACTAACTTGTCAATCGAAATTTTTTCGTTTTCACTAACCTCTCTGTCACATTCTTCATGTCTTTATCCATTTTATGCAACAATTCCACTTATTGTTTGATGGACATCGAAACATACTTTCGTTTTGTACGATCCTTTGAGAGCTCCAGAATCAAAAATTCTATTTGACATAATCGAAAGTTCAAGTTTACTTTTTTAGTATTGCTCTTACAGTCTGCAAAAAATAATAAGCCGGATCCAATTCAAAAAATTAAGGAACAACGCAATCATCAACATTAACTAAAATAGATAATTAGATAATTTTAGCTTACACTGTCCGTTATACATAAAACGCGCACGTGAAAACGTATTCTGCGCTTGCGCACACGCAAATACGCAGTCGTAAGAGGTCTTATGTGCACACGTAAATGCCTATGCGCATGTGTCAACACGGAGCATGCGCAGAAAGTTTTTAGCTTTGAGGTCCGGATTATAGATCATTCCGAATTATGGGTGTCCGAATTAACGACTTTTGACTGTAGTCCAAAGGAACTTAAAATTTCTAAATGGTATTACAGTTGTCTACAAAATGATTTGACACTACAAAGGATACTTCATTATTATTATGGTTCCCATTAATTTAATAATGACAGTGTATGTGACAAACGAATGGCATTCCTAACCATGGTCACTTATATTTCACCTGTTACACAAAGAGCTCCAAGTAAAATTACCACTTAGTGTAATCCAATCCACTAACGAAAGCGATAATAGATTTAAGGCTGTTAAGTTTGGGGGTTTTCATGGTAGAAGTTGTTTTGACAAGAAAATGATTTTGATACTATATTTAAAGTAGTTGTGGAAGTATGGCAGCTGCAAATGTATGAGAAAAATAAACATGTTTGCCATGTAAGTTCTGAACTTTTTCTTGATTAAAACTTGGTTATAATATTGGCATCACTTAAGTAAGAGAAGCTGTAATAATTAAGAAGTACACTGCAAAGTATAGATTTTATGCCAGAAGGTCATTAGTGATAGCCTTTTGGAGTCCATTTTTATATATTTGTAGTTTATTCATAATATATATTATTCAAATGGTCACTCTTGAGTTTTGTGAAATATTTTGCAGAAATTTGGGAAGTATAGTAAAACCTGTATTTAACAAACACTCTATTTTACGAATTTGTCTATTTAATGAAGCTTCCTGTAGGATTCTGCTGCTCGAGGTGTGAGTTTCCTTGTATAAAACCTCCAAATAGGGCAATACTCACTGTTTAACAAAGTTTTGAATGAATTTTTTTTTTGTTTTTTTTTTTTTTTTTTTTTTTTTTTTTTTTTTTTTTAAGATTTCCCTTTTATTTTCTTTTTAAATTATTTTATTCATTTGTTGTGACAGGTACGTGCATGCAGCTGTGATTCTAAAGAAAGCATGTGACTCATTGTCTGTGGTCACATTCCATTCTGCATGAGGGATGAAGTGAGGGGAGGGAGGTTCTTGAATAAGAAAACATTTACTGACCCTATTGTTAAAAATTCCCCAAGCAATCCTGTTTTGCAAATTAAGTTAAATAGAGGTAACAATCAAAGTAGCTGATATCATTTTTCAAAATTAATTTATGTAATTTTCATACATAATTTTGATGGAATTTATGCATTACATGTAATTTTGCTTTTATATTTTATTTAACTACTATTTCACGTTTCAAATTAATAACATTTTGCATCTTAAGTCATGATTTATCATAACCTGCATTCTGTAAGTTTCTCCGTTTAGCGAAGTTTTTCATAGGATTCTGTGACTTCGTTAAATAGAGGTATGACTGTATTTAGTGTACTGAATTTATTTTTTTAAAGTATGTAATTCTGAAACTAGGACAGAAGGAAACTTTTTGGACTATCCCTGTAGTAGTAAATAATTATTCCCTTGAGGTAAACAACTGACAGGAGTGCCAAAAACCAGAATTTTCATACTTCATATACAGGGCATGCATTTATCTTTCTGTCCGAAGGAACAAAACATTAAAGTGTTCCTCTCCATAACATCTACATTTTTACTCTATACAGTCAAAAGTCGTTAATCCGGACTCGTTGGGACTTCGGCGATTCCGGATTATCGATTTTTCCGGATTATAGATCATCAGTTTAAATCTCGTAAGATGGCATGCAGAAATTCTAAAATTAAAAATATGAAACCGTAATTTATGAAATAAAGAACAATTATGATCTAAAGGGTATCAAAATTTACAAAAAAAAAAGCTTAATATTTATTTGTTTACTTTATTAAACATTTCTTTCAATGTAAGTTGTTTAAGTTGCTTCGTTTTATGTGATAATACTTTCTTTTTAATTCTATAAACAGACATAATTTTTGTTCAGTTACAAAGTTCCGCTGTTCAAGTCCCGTTAATTGCTGTGCCGAGAATACCGACTAACTTGTCAATCGAAATTTTTTCGTTTTCACTAACCTCTCTGTCACATTCTTCATGTCTTTATCCATTTTTTGCAGCAATTCTATTTTTTGTTTGATGGACAACGAAACATACTTTCGCTTTGTACGATCCTTCGGGAGCTCCAGGAATCGGAAATTCTATTTTGACATAATCGAAAGTTCAAGTTTACTTTTATAGTAGTTGCTCTTAACAGTCTTTCAAAAAATAATAAGATGGATCATTCAAAGATTAAGGAACAACACAATCATCGACATTAACTGAAATAGATAATTAGATAATTTTAGCTTATACCGTCTGTTATACATAAAACGCGCAGGCGAAAACGTATTCTGTGCTTGCGCACACACATATGCGCAGTCGTAAAAGGTCTTACGCGCACGCATCAACGCCGCGTATGCGCAGAAAGTTTTTAACTTTGAGGACCGGATTATAGATCATTCTGGATTATGGGTGTCCGAATTAACGACTTTTGACTGTATTATATTATACTAAAGCATTTAATGTCAATTTTTTTAATATTTAGCATTTTTTGTGTGCATTTCTATTAAAATCTTACAATATATTTTATTAAACTTACTATTTTAAAATTAGCTTTCTGAAAACAAAAAATGACCAGATCTATTATTCATTCTTTTGCAGATTTTCAAATATAATTTTCAATTTTGAAAATTAAAATTATATAATGATTAACGGTTAAAATGTATACAGATTTTCCATAATTCAAAGTTGTGCATTTGACAGCTGCAGTGCATTAAACAGTATGCTTTGTTGTATCAAAATTAAATTATTAATTCAACTATAATAGCAAATGTTTCAACATATGCTGAAATTAGTATAATAGTGAGAATGAAAAACTTCTTCAGAAATTTCAGTATAAGTTATTGATTAAAATGTGCACATTATACTTATGGATTGCATTTTTTATTTCAGGCAAATTACTTTCAATGGGTTTTGGGTTTGTTCAGTTCAAGACAAAGTCTGCTGCTGTTGATGCTGTTCAAAACCTTCAGTTATCCAAACTTGATGGGCATGCTTTGGAGTTAAAATTTGCAGCACGAACACTAAAGTAATTTTAATCATTGTTTTTTCTAATTCTTATAAAAATAGACATGTACTGAACATGCTCTAAAACAAAAGCACTGTATTTCAGAGTGTTGACTCATCTGTGTATGCTATAAATGCATATGCTGATACAGTCTGCTTCCACTTAATCAAGTTGCTTACCCAGGCCCCATCTGAAAAAAAAAAAGGTTAAATTTGATTATTATGCAGTTATGGAAAAATTATTATCGCAAACCATTAGCATAAAATTATGTGAGGATAATACAAAAAGGAAGAGAGAAACCCAAGAGATAGCAGACGATATTATATGCATTTATAGCTTAGTTTCTTCACTTCTAATAATGCTTATTTTTTTTATTATTTGCAATAAATTTCTTTTATTTTTAGTACCGATTTAATTAATATAATCAAATGATTAATTTAATTAATATAATCAATTAATATCCAAATTAAAAATTTTTTGCGGAGAGGGCTAGTTCTAGTAGGGTTTATTTCTCTTCCATGTTTATTTATTTGCCCTTGGATTAATTATGATTTTGAATTAACCATAATTATAATATGATTGATTGCTTTTTTCTACTCCCCGCACCACAGTTGTAACAAGATTAACTACAGTTTTAAATAAACAGTGAATGTTGTCTCTGGTATTATCCTGGAAATGGGAGTTAACTGTATTGAATTAGGAATAGCCATATTTAGATGTGATTTTTGTAGATAAACTTTAATGTAATTCAAATAATTAAAAAATATTCTGTTTTAAAAATGTTTTAAAATTTTAAAGTTTACAGAAATGTTATAGAAATCTGTAAACGTCAGGGCAGTTTGACATCAAACTGTAAATATAGCCATATTGCTTATATGGTATATGAAACATACGAAATATATATTTCTGCTCCTATATTTTGTTCATCATGTTAATGTGCACATATTTTTGCATTTTACTCCTTAAAAATTTTAAGAATAGTCCTAAAAAGTCAAGTATTTTAATAAGCTAATAAAGCGTACTAAAATATTAAGTTTCATTTTCACTAAAGGTAATTAAATAAGTGAAGAATCAAAGTATACTTACTGATGGTAAGAGTTAGTTTACTAAGTAACGCTTCATGTGTACAGAAAAGATACGGGCCAAAAATTAAACAAAATAAACAACCTTAGATTGATATAGATTTTATATAAAACTCATTAGGTTCTTTGCAATTGTCTAATTGCATATATTTTACTAAATATGATTTCCACCTATATGATTTTAATAATTTGTAAATAATTTATAGCATAAGTGATCAAACATCTTTATGGTTGATATTTATATCATATCTAATCAGTAGTATGGATTATGCATAAATAAGGTCATATTTCTGAGCTTTTTACAAATAATTTTAGGAAAAATTATAATGGCTATGTACGATTAGCATTCAGGTAAAAAATGTGAGTTGAATTATTGTGATGAAAAATTGAATGTATCATTTATTAGGCCAGCTGCTCCCTCTGGACGAAAAAAGCAGGAAATAAAAAAACAACTTACATCAAAGATCCTTGTACGAAATATTCCCTTTCAAGCATCAGAAAGTGAAGTTAAAGATTTGTTTAAGTAAGTAAAATTTCATGATTGGTTTAGAAACTAGTTTGCGCAAAATAATGTATTCTAAAATAAAAGAGAGTTTTACTTAATTGCATAACATTATGCAATCAATCTTTTTTGTAGACAATACGGTGAGTTGAAATTTGTTCGCCTTCCAAAGAAACATGATGGTTCATCAGAACACAGAGGTTTTGGTTTTGTTGACTTTTGTACAAAAGTTGATGCTAAGGTAAAAATTACTTTTCTTATTATCCTTTTAATTTTTTTCCCTGAACTATCATATTTGAAATGTAAATTTAAGAAGACATTCCTCAATATGCAATAATATCAACTGGTTTGGCTATGGCCAAACTATGACTTTTTGTCCCCTTCAGCTTGCATTATAACAATGAAAAGTTTTATTTTTTTTAAAATACCATTCCAGCTTTAAAAAAATCAAGATTTTCCATTTTGAAATTGTATTCATGTAGAGTAATTTTTAACAATTTTAAATCATGCTCCATCTCTGTGACTTACTGTCATGGTTATAACAGGGGAGCAGATAAGAGAAACACAATAATTACCTGCTACATTGATGATATACCTTACATCTTAAGACACTGCACATGGGGAACGTACTTTTACGTATTTTGCAATCTATCAGTACAGCGCAGGCTACATAAAGGTACGTATTTAGTAGATTTGTGCTTGACAACGGACATCATATAAATATGATAGGCATTGTAAGTGTGTATTGATTTATTGTGATTTTAATAAATAACCAAACTCAAGTGAAATTCATGAAGATACGCACCCACTACACAAGGAAAAGTCTGCAGCGAAATATATGTGCATACAATGTGTTAATAAATGGCATTATAAATATATTTATTTATAACGTGTACTGAAGTAACAAAATATACCTGATGATCCAGTTTGCAATAAATTAATAAATTAATTAGTTTACTATTAGCTTTTATCTTATATATTGATCTTAATATTAACTGTGTAGGAAACTAATGTAAAATTTTTTTATGCAAATATTTCTCTAAGCTGACAGTTTATTTAAATCATTGTCATATACCAAATTGCAATCTTCCTAAAGAATGATGTGACATAACTCGCATATTTTAGTAAGGGTAAAATTGCTAGTGTTTTTCAAATCACTGAAATACATTTTTTAAAATTAATAAATGTGCCTAATATTATCATATACTTTTATGTAATCAATATATCTTTCTTCATATTCAAAATTTTCATGTGTTGATGTTTTGATTGTTTTCCTTGCCTTCAAATGTAAAATCAGCTTGATATCATCATATGAGAATGAAATCTTCCTTTTCTATTGCATCATGACTGATGGCGTGGAGTACTGGACATGATACTTAAAAATTATATCTTTCAGTGATGCCAATGAAAATTATTTCTTCTTGGTTGTAATTTTATATCCTGAATTTTATTTTTCCCAGGAAATGAGTAAATTGATTGTAAAGATGCACTGAGTGAGAAAATCTCCTAAAAAGTATTTAACAGCCACTGTTAAAAATAGAACCAAAATCAACAAATGGCATTTGAAAGGTAATGGCTATTAAGCCTTGTAATACTTCTTTGGCGAAATGAAGCAACTCCAGTGATCGAGCACAGCAATAACTTTTATTTAACACTCAAAAAAATGGCGACATACATACAAGAAGAGAAAACATATTCTAACATTTAAAAATAAATTACATTCTTCGTGCGAGAGCCGCACGTGGCACTCGAGTCTGGTTTCAAATATTGCCATTCACAAATTCCTTAATGTTCAACTATTTAAATTATTTAAACTACAAGATTTTAATAATATGTAAAGCTGTTACAACCTCTCCCCCAACGGAGAGACTTTTACCAAAGGGAAAAGTTCTGTAAAATTCGAAAGTTTATAAGCTCGGCTTGCTCAAATGCTTAAAGAGAAAAGGTAACTTCTCTCATAAGTTTCCAAATTTCAGGTCAAAAATTTAAAGTTTTAAACAAATACTTTTACACCACATTTAAAAAGAAAAAAAAAAAATGGAGAACGCTCAAATACATCAGTTGAGCATACGTTAAATAATAAAATAAATTCTGAACGTGGTTACATACACTAAGAGTTATTACATTACTTAATTCTACTCAGAACATCTACGTTCTTGTGCAAAGATCCTTTGCGATGAATGACCTTAAAATTATAAGGTTGTAATGAGAGTGCCCAGCGCATCAATCTAGAGTTACATTTGGCGTTGGATTGTAACCAAACCAAAGGATTATGATCAGTTTGAATCAAGAATTCTTGCTGACCATCCAGATAAAAATGCAGTTTCTTGATAACGTAGATGATAGCAGCGCACTCCTTTTCAGTAGCATAATAATTCTTTTCAAACTTAGTAAATTTTTTGCTTATATACAAGATAGGATGTTCACGTTGTTCATCAACAAATTGGCATAGTACTATACCCATGCCATTGTCATCGGTTTGAGGCATCGTTTGTATAATAAACCTTTTATCAAAGTCTGGGAGCATTACAGAATTGGTTTTTTGCATAGCAACTTCTTTTAAATTTTTAAAAAACTTTGTCACATATTTCAGACCATTGTATATTTCCTTTTTTTTTGTTACCCCCTTCAAAGCGTCCGTGAGGGGTGAAGCAATTTCCGAAAATCTCGGTATGTTCTCTGGCGATAATACCCTACCAGTCCTAAGAAAGCACGTACTTCTGTTTTAGTTTTAGGTGTAGGATACTCCTTTACAGCCAGGATCTTTACTTCATCCGGGGGGTTCGTTGTCCTTGTCCCAAACATGGCCTAGGTATCTCACTTGATCTTGTGCAAATTTACATTTTGCTGGTTTTAGTCGTAAAATTTGCTTTCTGTATTCTCTCTAGAACAGAAGTTAAAGTTTTTAAGGTGCTCTTCCCAGTTTTCTGAGTAAATGGCAATGTCATCCAGGTATGGTACAGCGAAACCTTCGCAATCCAGCCCAGGACTTTAGTCATACTTTGCTAAAAAAAAATATGGGGCATTTTTTAATCCAAAGGGTTAAACGTAGAGGCCTGAAACTTCCAAAACTAGTTACAAATGTTGCATATCTTTGGGCTCTTTCTGTTAACGGAATTTGCCAGTATGCCTCTAGATAAATCTAATTAGGGTAATATATTTTGCTTTTGCTACAGTTTCGATACGTTCTTTCAATAATTAGGCAAAGGATAGTATTCAGTTTTAGTAACAGCATTGAAGTTTACGATAATCAAATACAAGGCCGAGGATCCTTTGATGATGAAGATTCTATCAAAATCATGGAAGATGTATAGTCCGATTCTCCCGGCTCTATAATTTTAAGATCGAGCATTTTCTGGATTTCCCTTTTGAGAATTTCAGTCTGTCGGGGTGACAGTCTGTATGGCTTTATTTGTATTGGTTCGTTATTTAATAGCTCAATATCGTGACAAACTAACTTTGTTAGTCCAGGATTATTTGAAAAACAACCAGAATATTTCCATAAAATCTTTCGTAAATCGTCTATTTGCTCGGATTTCAACCTTTTCTCGAGTTCATTCTCCTCCATGATGTCCAAGAAATTTGATATGCTGGGATTAGAAGGTAAATGAGGAATGTCCATTTCTAAGTCTCCTTCCACTTCAGTTATCACATTAATCATTTCTGGTCTTTTGTAATATGGTTTAAGCATGTTAATGTGATATACTTGATTTGGCTCATTTTGTTCCTTGAAACTTACAATGTAATTGGTTTCTGAAATTTTCTGCTATATTTTTCCAGGTCCTTTCCACTGTTCTTCTAGTTTATTTTGACGATTCGTTGATAAAACAAGAACTGAAATCTCCTCTAGCAAATTCTCTTTTCACTTGCGTTTCGATCATACCATGTTTTCCTCCGTTGTTGAGTTTCTTTCATGGTTTTCCACGGCAAGTTCTTGGCATTTCTTCATTCGATTAATAAGTTCGAAAACGTAACTGACGAAACATTATTACTTTCTTCAATCGGTTCTAGCCACTGCTCATAAAGTAAAAGTGATTGGCGTTCGTAGGTTTTTTGCCATGAACTAATTCTGCTGGTGTAAAACCAGTGCCTTTTCGTGTGTGACTGTTCTGAGAGCAAAAAGAACTTGACGGTAGATAATTCTCCCAATCCGAAGTCGCTCCTATACATACGACTCTTAACACCCTTTTTTAGACGTTCTATGGAATCGCTCAACGGGATTACTCTGCGGATGATACACAGATCTTCTTACAAGTTTTTAATGACCGAAACGCTCCAAAAATTCTCTCTGTCAAAGCACTGACGAAAGAGGTCCCCTGGATCTGATCTCTTTGGATCACTTTTGGGAAAATCCCATACGAACTGAAAATCTGTAAGAAAGCATCAATCACAGATGACGAACATCTGTTGGCTGTTGAGGTGACAGATGAATTACATCTGTCACCCGCAACAGCATCTGGATATTTGGACGACATACACAGAGCTGTAATAATATATTTTTTTCCAGTCTTTGAAATAGGTAGCGGACCAACGGCATTGACATTTATTTTAGTGAATATTTCAGAAATTACTGGTACTAATGTCATTGGAGCCTTCTTTTTGTCATTTCCTTTTCCAGTGCGCTGACAAGCATCACAGGTTCTTACAAAATCTTCAGTTTCTTTGTAACACCTCGTCCAGTAAAAATATCTAGCAAGTCTGTCTTTGGTCTTTTTGACACCCAAATGACCAGAAGTTCCTTCGTGGCACATCTTTATAATTGACGGCTTGAGTTTTTCAGGTATAACGACAAGCTGTCTTTCAAAGCCCATTTTATCCGTCGTTTTTTTAACTAAATGCTCTTTTCTTTTCAGACTATAGTTCTCATTTTTGCATGTACCTTCTTTAACTTCTTGGATGATTTTAGACAGTTCCTCATCAGCAAGCTGAAGTTGTGCAATTTCTTCAATGTTTACCAGTTTCATGAGAGTTTCATCTTCCGAATTTAGCTCCGGTAAATTATCTTCTTCTTCAAAAACATCTCTGGATGCTTTATTTTCTTCCTTCATCGGTTCCAAGATCTTCTCTTCGGCTATTTCTCTTTTCTTTTGAGCTCTAGTAGAGACAGCATTGACCTGGTGAGGACAACTATCAGGTTCCTTTCCTTGTTTATTCAACCGTGCAAAAGTTCGATTGCCTAATAAATACCTTCCTTTGTCGAGTTCATTTCTAATAATGGCAGCCTTAGTTATTACTCGCCCA